TGCGACATATTCATCTGTGCATGTTCAGCCATCTCCATGTCCCCGAAAAACATCATCCCAATTTGGTTCAGCACCGTGGCCCGAACAAGGCACAGTTGAGACACCGGATCGGTTGCAGTGCCTCGCTCGTTCTTTCATTCTGTTGTCGAAATCGGCCGAGTACGAGCCTGCGTCTACAAAGCTAGCGGATGACATTCTAGCAAGGTCTGACTTGATATGAAAGACCTTTGCAGGGACAGGTCTTCTCCGATATATCTTCAATGAAGGTGTCACATCATCTAACTCAGATCCTTTCCCAGTGCTTTAATAGACCAACGAGACCATAGCCGTAGGCCAACTAGTAGGATTGCTAAAACCATCATGACGGCAGTTACTGCAATCATAACTGGACCGTTATTTTCTTGGGCCTTTTCGGCGGATTCACTGCTAGGGATAACCATAATCGTCAGAAAAGGTAAAATCTAAAGCCATAAACCTGAAGGATGATGTTGGAAGCAGTAAATGTGTAGCGTTTAGGGCAATTGATATATTACTTGCAGGAGAAGCTGGGCCGAGCAGACTTTTATCACTTACTCTAGCACTTTGTCCTTCATGCAGAGAAATTTTGGGTCAAAGCGGCTTATGGATGGGCTTTTGGCAAATCTGTGTGTGATATGTGATCATAAGCTCATCCGCCCGTTTAAGGAAAAGCTCTAATACAGGTAGAGATTGGGTTTAACTAAATCTAAATAAAATGTATACAATATTACGCGTTGCATTTAGAAAGGAGATAGCTAGAAACTATAAAGGTAAATAATTATGATTCATAAACTAAGAGTAAAAAAACTAATTAATTAAGTGTTTGATCAAGTACAGGCTTAGCTTCACTCTTGGCGTCTGGTCAGGTCAGATCATGGCTGACGCCTTGTCACCTTCCTTAATCCTAAGTGTCTCACTACCCCGCCTTGCTCGGTGCTCAATCCAAATTAGAAAGATATACTTCAATAATATTAAAAGTATTACTTTTTTTTTCTTCTTCTCTTTTTAGTTTTTCTTATTACGGCAAAATAGTGTCCAAAGTTCATGGCAACCAGGATGCTCTTAGCACTTTTATGTCTAAGCTTGCTTTGCCACCTCCCCACTCCCCCAGCCTTATCTACCGGTAGAATCTTATCTAGCCGTAGCTTGGTTGACGAGAACAGATGATCTGACATCCAGGAGCCCAGACCTCAAGTGGCTTAAAGCCTCTAGTTCTATTGCAAAGAGAAGAGGCTAGCTTTAAGATAAGTCCAAGGATTATAAATGAGGCATGCACATTGATTCGTCGCTTTAAACCTAGAACGCCGCATTGAACGTCTGTGGCCACAATTTAGCGCCCATTCTTGTTCCCCGTAAGCGATATTGCTTGAAACGGTCTCGCCAAGCGCTGGCGCGAATTGGGCACAATCCTTATGTATCAGGTTCCTTACACCTAGTTGCGATACTTGAGACCTCCGTGATTTGTAGATCGATAAGGTTCACTAGACCCATTGCTATAGATCCGGCAGACGTGTCAAAGCGCGGTGGTAGCCTAGACCTGATATCCACGGTACGCCGCTACTTCCTGGTTGGATCATGTAATCTCTTGTTCCTTGAGGTTGCATAGCCAAGAGCTCGAGAAAGATAAGTCAAATATCTTGAAAGTGTATTTGACTCATCTCTCTCGAACTTGACTACGAGATGATATTGAGGACAACAGTGCTCTGCCCCTGGAGCCACAATTTGTCGAACTTGCAGCGAAGGCTGAACTTCAGCAACGGTTAATGCTGTCGCACAGTTTCATCACCAAGTTGCGCTCTTCTCAAGCCAGCCATGAAAGTAAGGCTCTTGAGTTTACTATACTACAGCGCCACAGTTTACCATATATCCCAAGATGATCCAATCGTGGTGTGTGGTTCTCTGATGAAATTCCGACGATAACTTGATCTAATGCATTGTCCGGACCAGAACCACACAAAAGATTGTGTCTGCGAGAAATTGACGCAGCTATACGGGGACCTTACCTCCCAATGTGACTATGTGACTTGCAAATCTTACATACGTGGCGTTAGTAGTTTGATTGATCGCGAGCAACACCTCAGCTTGTATCGAAAGCCACTCAAATGCCCAGAAAATTGTTGCTTATTTGCAGATCTGGGTTTCTCGTCCGGCCAAAAGTTATCACGGCACACCAAGGCCATACACGAGCAGATCACGATTGGCAGTGATATCCCCAGCTCAATTTTCTCAACTCTCCCGAAAGGCGGCATCTTTGTCATCCTTCAGGACACAGTCAGAGACAACCAGGTCAAGATTACTAAATCGTTACTCCAGGTAGCGAAGAACGAACCTAGGTTCCCAAATAACCTACGGCTCTTGATATTCTTAGGTTGTGCTAAAGCATCACGCGATAGGCTTGACGTCCTCTTCAATGAGGCTTCGACGATCTCTGTACCAAACTTAGGTCTCAACAAAGCGTTGGCGGTCGCTATTGATGCTCAGAACTTCTATTCTACCAAGTTCTTACTGGAACGGGGCGCTGGCGTGAACCGAGAGGCAACCTGGCCAGATGAAAAGCAACTCAAGTCCCTGGATACCCCTACAACTTATCAGCGATCACAGTATCTTAGATGGAGATGCTGGAAAGTTTCCCCAAACAACCGCGCCTTCGCATTAGTCCATTCCGCTATACTTGGCTTGTTAGTCAATTCTCATGCTGCTGATCTGCGCCTTTTTACTGGATTCGGTTATGTGAACACTTAAGGCGTATTTGCGTACTTCAAAGATGACGACCCCGAAGTTGCTGATAGGTTGAATCGACCCGCATGGCTTTTCGTTGCTTTGAAACTCGTTGAAGCCGGGATGACATGCGCTTTAAAAAAGAACTCCGTGTCGGTTCTGACATTTTGTTTAGCCCACGTTGTTTATTTGGATGAACCAGATAAGGTCACAGAATATTTATTACCTGAATTTTTACATCACTTCACGGCACATAGTAGTATAGCGAAAAAGAAGAGTAGGATACTGGGTGTTATTCTAAAGCATTGTGAGAGCCGGTGTCTTCTGCCGGATGTCTGCAGGCTTGGTATCGACTCACGTCATCCCGTCCAGGAACCAGAGGTTTATTTTGGCTTTGAATGGGAAGATCTAGTAATGAACACAAGGGGGGGTTACTTCAGATTGACTTCTGGCCTTCTGCATCTTCATTTGGCTCGGGCAAATAGGCGTCCTATTATGAAGTAACTTGAATTTTCATTTTCATTCGAATAAGGTCGTGTTACAGTGCAATAGACCTTGAGAAGCAGAATTCTACAAAAAGCGATACTTCATAACAACGTAGAACGATCCGACACGGACTGAGCTAATCCAAAATAATAGGACTGTCGACATTTCCTCAGGGATCTTACGGTTGTCCGTAGCATCGACCGACATGGAGGAAAGTTGTATCTTTTGCTCCTGTCTGCGAAGAACTAACTAAATATACTGGGCCACTATGTTAGTCACGCGTGATAGCTTTTCACTGTACGCTTGATGAGAAACTAACCTCATCCACAGAACCATGTGTTTGCGCGATGTAATATACTGCTCTCACCGGCCTTTGCTGGCCAAGCCTGTGTACTCGGCCGAGTGCTTGACTTGTGTTTCGTTTGAGTTGAAAGCTAAGCCCGGTGGTGGGACCCTGCAACATGCGGTGGGCTTTTTCTGAGACTCTGGGGTCATGTAAGAAGTAGAATGCAGAGAGATGGCAGATATTGAGTCCAAGACGAATGCGCGATAGATATGTCATGCCTTCAAGGTAGAGAGGGAACTTAAAGGCAATTTATCCGCGCTGGTTTTGATCATTAAGCTCAAAAACAAGCCCAAATTCCATTTCGGCAGATGCGGAGAGTGGCTCAGTTCAATACATAAGTTCGTTCTCTGATTGCTAAACAAGAGTAACGGGGATCTCGTTCTCCTGATCTTATGCAAGAGTGACGGTCTCGCCTCGAGCTCGGATAGCTGCGAAGATGCCATGTTTCCAGAATAAAGCGTCAGCATAGTATGGGGGAGGGGATCGACTTGCCGTGGTGAAATTATCAATTGTCAAAGAGGTCAGTCTTTGTTGACGCGGAGAATGTTCAGGCACCCAGTAAATCAGCATACACTGAACGCCCAAACTCGAGCCAACAAAGAGCTGAAAGCACAGAACAGATCCGGTCACACAACAGGCGACTGAAAAGCCCTGCTCCTCTCAGCAATTCGGCGAGGAAGTGAGGGACTCCCTTCTGCACTCCCCGATCCTTCCTCAAGAGGAGGCGGACGACGCGCTCGTCTAGAGGGGTAGGTTTCGGAATTTTATACCGGTTGCAGTGTGATCTATCCCAAATCTTCTGGCGTTGTGTTGAATAGAGGAAGAGAAGAGAGAGAGGAAAACGAAAGTAAGTGACTAGGCACATCTTGTGCTACCTCAGGTTCTGCCACTGGCACTGTCATTGCCAGTGTGAATGTGATCGCTGCCGTCACTTATTGGCTGTCAACAGACGCTGCCCCACTTAGAAGCCTGGGCTGTTCAGTGTTCTCTGCGCCAAACTTTTACAGACTGGAGAAGCATAACTACCTTAAGGTAACGTACTCTAGAAGAGTCCCTTATTAGATATCATGTCTCTACGCAAGGAAAGAACAAAAGAACCAGCAAGGAGACTGGGATTGATGTAATTCAAATATATAACTTTGGAAAAGGCGAAAAGTCAAGGAACGCACGCCCTTATCTTTGGTGCAAATGCGAGCTTGTTAAAGAATTGGCTGTTTTTTCATCACTGGAATTAGGGGGCATTAATTGCATGAGCAGTGTTCTTTACCGGAAGAGCAACTCGGTCAGTGTTAGGTAGCACGCTAGAGGATGCTCGGCAACATGTTGTGGCCACTATAGCTCCTTTGACGGCCGCTATTCATGAACGAGTCCCTACTTTACTAAAAATACTACCCAAGGACCAGTTTAATATACCCAACTGCAGTTCCTAACATCAATCATCGCCCAATATTCTTTTCCCAATATCTTGTTTAATGTCCTCTCCGAAATCTTTCAAATTCTCTTGAGTGACCACATTATCTTTGAGGTCTTTGTACTGTTCACCGACCTCATCTAGCCCCTGTTCTACATCCCAAAGTCTTCCGTCATAGCCTTCAAAGTTGATCTTGTCGTTCTGCTTTTGGAGGTCTTCAATCTCCTTTTCTGCTGTTTTAATTCTCTTCTGTAGATCTTCGATCTCCCCTTTCGCAGTTGCGTTTCTCTTTTCCAACGCCTGGCCTGCTTGTTGTTGGTCCCGAAGCGCTTTCTCCAGTCGCATCTTTTCTTTCTCTAACGTAGCTACCCTCTCCTTTAACTCTCGCCTCTTTTGACTCTCCTAGCCCAGCTTCTCCTCCTATGAAGTCTGCCGTAGCTCAAAGGCAGCCATCCTTTCATGCAGGGTTTTGAGAGCCTCAGCCTCCAACAGGCCTGTCTCGCTGTCATGGTCATTGGGCTCTCGTCGAGGTCTTTTTCTCTTTTGTGCTGCTGTGTTCAGTGGTACCTCATCGTAAGCGGGCAGCTCTTCGAACTGGGCGCGGGGGCGCCTGTTCTGGCTGGGGAAGAAGATGGGCAATCTTGGCGCCTTCACCTTGATAAAGACTCTGCAGGTCAAGCTGTCTTTTGCGTGTGAACCGGTAGTGACCTCCGTTCATTGCATTGCGAATTTCATGTAGTTGGGCCTCGAACAAAGCACTATGGTCGATGTAAACAGAGAACGATTTCATCTGTGATATTTCACGAATATTATCGAGAACAAAACCTGATTGCGTCTTGCCTTGGGCCGGCTGTTCTTTAGCGTAAAGAGGAATGAGGACAGTAATATTCTCATTGAGTTTAAAATCGAGGCCAAGGACCTGAGGGCTGAATTTTGCTCTCACAGGCTGAGGGACTATGGGGAGCATTTGGTATGAAAATGTCTCGATTGTTGAGAGTGGAATGCATAAAATGACTGAGACTTTCGGTGTTCTCTTCTCTGTGAGCTTGAGATAGAGAGGCACACTGATTTCGAAGAGAGAGGAGGTCTTGTCCACTCGTGTCTTGAATGTCAGGGTGTTGTTCTTCGGATCAGGTTCGGCCAAGTACTTTAGGGTATCGCGACTTTGCCAGCTGATGACGGCAGCTGTAGAAATTTGAGGATTTATTTCTGCCATATCTATTGCTTCAAGGCTGTTGTTTTGAGAGAAATGAGAGCGAATGTAAAATTTTATTTAGTTAAACGTGAGCAAGTCACTCATTCATTGAATGATTCCAACCTGGTAGGCAACCAATTACACCCAACTGCTTGTGCTTGTTCTGCTATTCTAAATTTGGCAACGTGGGGCATCGCCAATCTGCCACTGGCAAACAGTCTCGTGTCAGTCACATGACCACGCGCTTCTTACTACCCCGCAACGCGTCCCTCCATTCGCGTCCCTCTTCTCTCTCCCCCACCATCTCCATCTCCAACTCTCCCTCCTTCTTCCCCTTCACAAGCAAAGCACACAGCACAAGTCCAAAGACCCGGTGAACCACCACTACAGGCCGTTATAAAATTCCGACTTGTACCCCATCAAACGAGCGCGATGCCTCCTTTCTTGGAACAACCGGGGCGCTGTAGACGGGACCTGGTTCAGTGCTCGTCGGCTCTGATTCGAGGGCCTGGACGCTTGATCTTGCCGGCTTTGGTTCGGGAGTCAAACAGGTTGCCGGTTGGTGCAGTATCTGGTTTGCTCTTTTGGTCCCCTGCGCTGGGTGTGTTGTGTTGAATAGGTGCGTCGACGCTCTTCTCTCTGGCTGACTTTGTCACAGGTTCATTACTGCACGCTTGCATGCACCCGCGACCTCCTCTCCGGATACCAGCTCTTTCACCCGCGGCAAGAACATCCTTATCGCCTCCTACCGAACTTGGCATCACTATTGAAGACAATCGAGCCGGCCGATAACCCACGAACCAAGATCCAGCGACGGCTTGGAGCGGTGGTTCGCAAGACGGCACCGCGCCTTAATGTTTGCCGCTCTCCAATGCCAGCGCTTGTCTCCGTTGCTTATGCTGGCTTGTCCTTCGAGCTGAAGCAGCACCTAGTTGGTTCGTAAGACGCCCGATTACCATCAGTTCTCAGTGCTAGTGTCTTCAGTAGATGATCCGTGAGGCACCTTATCCGCAGGGCCACTCCTCGTCCAAGTTCCCTGACTCCTCGCAATTCTCTTACACCGTCAACCCCCAACATACTCCGATCCCCAATGCAAAGTCCACCAGCCTCCCATGGCAAAGAGTTGTCAACCGCCTCCCCAAACAGAACGACCTCCAAGCTCCACGACAAGCCAACATGTTGAGAACCACGCGGTGTCCCCTACCTATGTACAACACTGGCCACAACCTTTTAGTCACCCGACTGCTCTATTCATTTGTCCCAACAACTCTCGATCCTATTTTCCACTATCCTTTTTATCTATACAAATTGAATAAAAGGAACATTTCCGTCGGCGTGTATTCTCAGATAACTCAAGCTCATCGTATCGAGGGTCGCCACCCGTACTCGACACCACGAGCCGGGATTCCCGATACAGAAGCTGCAAGCAAACAGCTCAAGGTTTCTTTGCCTACTCATCAACACTGCCACTACGACGAAGAGCTGAGAACTCTTCATTTCTCAAGCTAGCGTCTTTACCCATATCTGGGATTGGCTACATCAGGATCGCGACACAAGTCTTTGGTCATCAGCCACAAGTCAAGAGATCGCGTAAAAGAGTTTTGCACAACCGCCCTCACGTCCTCTCACACAGGTTCATCACCATGGACCATCCCTGCCAACACTACGACGAGTCATCCTTTGAAAGCTCTCCAACATCTCAGTGTCCCCCAACGTGACGCTTGACCGCCGACCAGCACATCGCCACCCAACAACTCAGTGTTACTTCAGTCTATCAGACCTTGGTTCTTGATGGATAAGGACTCTTCCGCGTACAAAGAGTAGTCCCCTTGTGCTCACGGCAGCGACATCGCTTATACGAAACAAAAGGTCTCCTCCCCAAAGACTGCGAGGTAATATTATAAGATAGCTAGCAATCAAATACGCATTTTGCCATCTCAAACTCGAGGCCCACTCTTCATTCCCATGTTTTGACTCGTCTTCCCCTTGCTGTGGTCACTTCCTTGTACATATCCTCCATCCTGCTCACTGATCGACTACCGCTGACGCCCAGATCAACAAGCCTGACAGTGGGCGCATCTTCATAATCGGGATGCACTTCTGGCCCGTTTTCTCGCAGCATTCTATTTGCCCAGCTAGTACGTTGAGCCATGAACCTTTATTCTTTCTTTTTCTCGGTCGCGACAGACTCTTTGCACCAGCCGGCTCGGTCAGAGAGCCTCCTGATCCAGCAGGATACCTTTATCTTTGTCTATGATGATCTCGTTCCGCCTACCACTTACTTCATCAATCGCCTGACCATAACTGCGTCTCGCATGTTGGTGCGGCTCTTGTGTCAGGCTGAGCATGGCTTAAACTCTTCATGGGATGGCCTTCAACTTCAGCGCCCTTTCTTTGATCCTCACCTTTGGCCGTTGCACTACCATCGACCTTCTACTTGGCAGCGGTGATGACCTCTTAGACCTCGGGGTTCTTAGTAAGTAGTGCATTGCCGGCATCTACCAGTTTTTCAATGTGTTTCTGTATCGTTGAAGCTGTTGTCGGTTTTCTTCAAGGCGTTGTCTTATCTCTTCAATCCCATTCCATAGCACAGGTGTCGATCTCGATCAGGCCTCATGCTAAGCTGTATTTATCATTCCCACATTGGGATAGCTTCTGATGACAGTCTTGTCACTGGCACTCAGGCCGTCTTCGCCTTGCCCTGAGTAGCTGGCTGGCTTGATGCTCATACTATAATCTGCCTTAGGTTCGGTGTCCGGGTATCGATTCAACGAATTTCAAGTCTCAGTCGGTGTCTGGCTTTGCACTGTCCTCTGATCAGATGGATCTGACCGTTTTGTTAGTTCATGGCTGCTGCTTCTCTGGAGAGAAAAGCTAGGTCAGCAGATGCTGACGCCGACAAGTTCCGGAAGAGTTGTCGACCTGGGGTTTCTTATGATGGTGTGCTTGGAAATGTACTACTCTGGCGACGATCGAGATGGACAGAAAGCGGTGCGCTACTAGATCTATGAAGTTTTCTTATCGCTACTGGAGAATGCTCTATGTAAGTGTTAGCTGCTTTTTGGTGTCTGATTGATCTGATTCTTCAGCCTTCGAGCCAAGTCCTTTCAGAGCCACCAGACAGCCCCTTTCGTGAACCTTCCTCACTACAGCAACGAGCTATCTACCTGCATTCACGGCGACATCTACTCGCAGGCCTCAAACCTCCATTGAGAACCGGGCACCCTCACCGCTGCTTTTACCCCGAGGTTGTGAAATATCGGCCAGGTAGTATACTTGGCATCTTGGACTGTTTCACACTTTTATCAGTATCATAGGGTTGTGAGATGCTTGCCCGATGCTATTAGAATGTGGTGTCTTCTCTGGGTGAGTGAATTGTGTTCGCTTCCACATTCCAACACTGACCTTACGCGACACATGACATCGATACCGGTGCTGTTGCACGTTTCTGGCTTTCTAGCTTATAGTGAAGTAAATATCCAATAATCTGAGAGCGCCTCTAGTAAAGAAGTTGCTAAGAATTGGTGCACGCCGGCACTGCAGCCACTGGTCACCAGCACCAGTCCTTCGCCTCATGCATCACGATAAGATATATGCAAACAGTTTCTGGATGTATTTAGGCAGGCGTTTCGCTCATAGCAAGAATTGTTACGATTGCTAGTAACCTACGTTGCTGCAGGTTCGTTTGCGGCATCAACCTTGGCCATCTTGATCATTTGCTCCGGTTGAGACTCCTGGCGATTACGGCGAAAGCGACATCATATGGCAGAACTTGTCACAAGGGCGAGGGTTTCTGCCCAAAGATCGTCAAGCTCCAAGGCTCGAATACAGCATTTATCGCGATAGAGAGTCCGATGAAACGGAACTTTACATCATAGAGCAGGGGCTTTTCTTTTTGATCATGCGGTCGGTGCTGAACTATACATTAGGATGCCAGTCACCTAAATAAAACTGCCCTGCTACCCTGTATGCCAAGAACGGTTGACATTCTTGTCTCCAGAAAGGTTCCACTCGCCTAGCGATTAGCTTTGCAACACTGACCCAATTACGAGTCCGACTTGATCCCAAAAAGGTAGTGAAACTATAAGACTAGAGCTAAAACAGGTAGATCCAGTCAAGGATACGGGGCGAAATACCCGCTGACTTTTGCTAAGGTTGCTTGGGAACCAAGATAACATCAGACTCTGGTATAGGGCCTTAAAATAAACTCAGTGAAAGTTATCCTAAGCTTATAACAAATTACCTAAGTCTCTTCATCTTTTAGTATCAAGAACACTCCGTCAAGGTTGTTTCCAATCGTGGGATCAACGTTTTTTCGCCTTGATACGGTCTCCTGAGCTGTCTGAAAGGCGTCGCTTGTGAACAACGCGGCCTGGGAACGCCGGCGTCTCCTCTCGTTCAAGTCCCCGTTTATGCTCTTCGGCGCTGGCCACCATGTCTGACATGTCGCGGTACGAGATTGAGAAGGGGGTGTTGGGGCAGTCTTGACATAGATGGTCAGGCGCAAAGTCGTGAAGGCGTAGTGTCAAGGTGCCGTCAACAGGGTTCTTGTTGGCGTCTCGAAAGGGCTTAATCGGTCAGCTTGTTCCTTTTACGGGGTTGAAAGATATACCTCTGACTGAAAAACTTGTTCAATATCCATTTCAACTCCATCGCCGTTTTGCAGTGGGGTGAACGTTGGCTTCCACACTGATATAGTGGACTCTTTGTCTTCGTTGAGATCAATGCCAAGAACAACTTTGATCTGTCCATCGGTATGATGGATGTATCGTTTGGCAAGACGCCTGAACTCCTTCGCGTCTTGAGTCAATGCAACCTCGACAACTACACCCGGGTATATAGAATTGCAATGTTCGAACTGCGCATCTGGTTGTCGCTCCCATCGACCAGGGAAAGGCGAGTGAACCCGGCATTGGCGATGCTCTTAGTGAAGACGCGAGCTCGTTGGTCCTGGCAGCTGATCTCGCGAATTTCATCCCATATAGCCATTCTAAACATTGAAACAAAAAAGTAGTGGGTGGTAGAAGGCATATGAAAGCTGATGACTTGGCGGCGAGGGTTGTAATCGAAGCGTCGAAAGGTAACCTCGAGCTTGTCGTGCAGGCGGGTGTAGTCAGCCTTACTAGGGTGGAATTTCGTCAACGGCGATGGGTCGCCATGCGTACACTTGCGCTTGAATTCAAGAAGTCTTTGAGGTAGTTCTTCAGCGGTAGCGGGATGTGTGTCGTCCATGGTTGGAGTGCACGCGCGTGGGAAAGCGATGCGTTGCGATGCTGGCGAGCTTGTGTTTGGGTTTGGCTTGAATAACCATGGTGGGGGTGCGTTGAGAGGTAGGTTGCTAGGGCGTTATCTTATCAGTATTTGGTCACTTAGAGCTCTCTGCCAGCTACAGCCACTTTCAGAGCATGCAGCTCCGATTGCAGCGATCTCCGCCATCAGACACCCGCCAACTGCGTCCTTCATTGTATAGGGACCAAGTCTCACCAATATTGTCGCCGCCTTCTAGCAAGTATAAAGGACGCTGATATATGTACTGCTACCTGTCCTCTTGACTCTTACTGGGCTCATGAGTAGATGCTGGCTTTCTGGTCCCAGCTGCCGCACCAAAGATCAGATAACAATAGCTCCAAATCTCTTCCTATTGACGCCATCAACCTCGCTTTGAGCAAAACTGCTTCGGATCCTCATGCACCAGGGGTTGTGAGCTTTCTTCAGAGCTGGAGATCGTGAATCGCTCCAGGAAACCCCCGTGCCTCTCGATTTATGGAGCAAAGCTGCTATGTCTTCAAGGGAGCATATAGGATGAGGGTTATGGGATTGATAACTGGGGATTTGCGGGCTACACTGTGTCAGGCGAGAAGGAGGGCCGCAGAAATCAGTCAACCGTCGTCCTGACTGTCTGTCAAGTTGAACATGATGGAGACAGGCTTCTCTTGGTGATGGGTAACGGGTGACCAAGACCTCGGTTTCTCGACTGTAATGAGCTTTTAGAGCTGTTACAACTCAAAATACTTGTGGATAGACTAAACTACATCGATAAGTATCCGTTTCCTTGTTCATGTGCCATCCTCAGCCAAATCTCCATCATGTTAGCTGATTGAGCCATGTTTTGCATACTGGCCTGCTCCGCGGTACAAAAAGATCGAGGTCAAGTGACAGGCATACGCGATATTGCTTGCTATAACTGGGAAAGCCGTGTTCTTGATGTATGCCCTGTAGAGGAGGATTGAGATTGAGGCTATTGATTGCTTAGCCGTCCTGAGCTTCACACGGTTCTTGACATCTTCGAGGGAAGAGAAAATGCCAAGGAGAGGGCGCCCTCTGGGACAAAAGAGTCACTGTCATCTCGTATTCTTCCTTAATTCTATCGATAGGTGGATGGCAAGTCTCTCAATGTTGCTTTCCAGACAGCTGTTGTCTTCCACGTCGGATTTCTCAGCAGTCTCAACTAGAGCGATAGTCGAGATGGCTGAGATTCATGCCGGCAATGAAAGTTCTGCAACGGAGGTAGCGATCGCAACATCGTAGCCGTGGGCGACGTAAAATAGTCGCTCCAATGTAGAGTACAGAGACCGCCGACCCAATCCTATGGGTGAACACCAGTGAGCTGGAGTGTCTCGGCGGGGTGAGATCAATGAGCGCCGTCCCACAGAACAAAAGTTCGGAATTTATCAGTACTAACTGCCATAATCGCAGCCCGTTCGAGGTCGTGGCTGGCATTGTGACTGTTGATGTTCATAGTTCCTTGTTGTCTTCCATCCACTGTATCTTGCTCTGAGCCCACTCGAACCAAACTTGAACATCTAGCAAACTCAAGTAGGAGGAATTCTCGCTTAGATGCCGCAGAGTCTGGTGACCCTGCACTGGTACTGATTGAGAAGTTGCCGAATTCGAGGTTGACCCCGCGGTGGCGCTAGGGGCTTGAATGCGCACATCAATGGTGTCGCCAGTATCAGCGTGAGCCAAGCTTGCGGCGTGTATACAATTCAGCTTGTTGAGACTTCCCCACTCATCGAAGGTAGGGAGGTAGACTTGGCCCGGTGCTTTGCGATCCAGGCTACCCTGGCGTTGCTGGTCAAGAAACCGATAGGTTCGAAGAGCTCGATGATTGTGTTGGTTGCATGTTGGCTGCGACCTGCACAAGCTTGCATAACATGTATGTACCGCCCGCGAAGACATTAGAGCTGAGCCCGTCTGCGCGCGATCTTTACTGCTTGCGCGAGCTTATTGATAGGTTGTTCCCTTGTTCTACACGCGCAAAGATAATTTATCATGTGATAAGGTTAGTCCGATCAACCCCGCATGGCCGAACTGCCAATACGATCCTTGCGGATTTTCTGACCTCACCGGTTGGGCACCAAATAGCACAATCGCTCAGCGCCTAACCAATGTACCGTAAAAGCTGACTTGGTTGTTTGTTATCTTGATCTTTGGACCTGCGAGATTATTAAACTTCACCACTGCGACCCTGAGTTCCAGAGGTTTTCCTTTTGCAAGAGAAAATGGCAAGTAACTTTATGCGCTCTTGTACTTCTAGACTCTATAGTACTAATCTTTATAGGATGGTGCTCCAAGTCAGGAAGATCCAAGTCAGGAACTTGTTGACTTGATGTGGAATGGCGCTACTCCAGTAGGACCAAAGGTATATAAGGACGGGATAATGCTATGGAAAAACTGTACTGCATTCTATAAAGGCCCTGATAATAAAGACTGGATTAGGATAAAGGAGACTGGGCAGTGGAAAATACTAAGAGGCTAGGCAGTTTATCTGACTGGTGGTGAGATCAGGAGAAATGATAATCCAATTCAGGATCCTGATCTAATTCAGGAACTTGATAACTCGATGTGGAATGACGCTATTCCAGTAGGACCAAAGGTATACAAGGACAGGATAATACTATAGAGAAACTGTACTGCATACTACAAAGGCCCTGATAATAAAGAATGGATCTGGATAAAGGAGACTGGGCAGTGGGAAATACTAAGAGGCTGGGCAGTTTATCTGACTGGTGGTGAGATCAGGAGAAATGATGATCTAATTCAGGATCCTGATCTAATTCAGGAACTTAATAACTCGATGTGGAATGATGCTATTCCAGTAGGACCAAAGGTATATAAGGACGGGATAATGCTATGGAGAAACTGTACTGTATACTACAAAGGCCCTGATAATAAAGAATGGATCTGGATGAAGGAGACTGGGCAGTGGGAAATACCAAGAGGCTGGGCAGTTTACCTGACTGGTGGTGAAATTAGAAGACACACATAGTCTTGTTTAATACTGCCAAAGGCTCGGCGATACCAGGCTAGCCATGGTAACATCAACGACAGGAGTAAGCCAGCATAGCGCATTAGACGCACCAGGAACCTCTACAGTCAAGTACCGTGACAGCGTAAACACTTCGCCCCACGCGTCTCCTACAGTGTTGGATTCCGTTGCTGATCAGGCTGAGCAGAAGCTCACTGCTCAATCGCAACCTCGACTGCCTGGGTATCTTCATAAGCTCAGCACAGCGTGGCAGTATCAATCAGTGGGATATAAATATAGACAAATACAAAAACGACGAATCGACAAGAGAAAAGCACCAGACAGCCACCGTTAAGGAAGCCCAAGGTCACGCCCGTTCTCTACTTCAATTAGAAGATTTACTGCGCAAGCACTTCACTTCACTGACTACCAGCCTGGTGTATAAGAGCATAAAATTAGTTTCACATGGCATTGGCATCTGAAGTTAAGATATATCGTCAACATTCAGAGCCCTCTTCAGTGCGCTGTGTTTAGAGGAGCGCCAGTCGTTATCACATGGAGCAGGTCTTGAAGTTGCGATGCATTGTGGGTAGAAACGTAAATGCCCCAACGTCCAGGCAAATCTCAAATGCACCCAGCATCATAACTGTCTGTAATGGGCTGGAGTGGGGATTTTAACAAAGCCACCTCAATAGGCAACATCAGTACCATAAAGGAGAAGTATACTCCTAAAGTAAATGCCTCACCCGCAGAGCCGCGCATTTGCCTATATCACGACAGCTCGAGAGGAAAATTACAGGTACGATAAAGCACACCGATATCCAGACAAAACACGCACTACAGAGCAGGAGATTGAGTGATATGAACTTGTTTCCTGTGACATGGCCCACATCACTGCCAAAACAATGCCTCTTACTTCCGCCAACACCGACTGGATAGATCCTCAACGACGAAACACAGGCCATTCTGCTTACTCACCGTTATCTAGTTTCCAAGGACAGTTGAGACATTGATTGCACCCCTCTGCTTGACTTATACAGTCCTGGGTATATGCTCAAAGATGCACTATATCACTCTCGAGGATGACGAAGAAGACGCAACTTCTGAACAGGAGCTTCCAGTGCGTCTGATGTAGCTACTGGGCTCTAAGTATATGTGTAAAGCTAGCGATCTTGCCACAGCACTGATTTACCTTGCCAACAACAATAACCCCATCAGAAACAGTAGAGAATTGGCTCTAAGTGCTGGCAGATCTCAAACACAGCTCGTGCTACCACTTCCTCGCCAAAGGTACCAGTGCGAACTTCTGTAATCTAATGACCAACACTACCTTCATCTTCCTAGGTGCCGCTGATGCTATCCCTGTCAAACCATAGTCTCAGCACCTACGCGTAAGGGCAGTGACGATAAGTCTCGGCCCATTGACCTCTCAATCCCCACTGGGAATCAGCAACTTCCTCCGAGCTCTGGGTGATGCCACTGCCCTTAGCTTTGGGGAACACGGTGGTGAATGTAATGCAGACTAGCTACGATCTTAGTTAGTATTGATAGCGAACTTGGCACTCCTGCTCCCATCCTTATCTTTTTCTCGCCCTACCTGATAGCCATTAATACATCTTGCAGGGGACTATTAAAACTCTTTATAGCAGTGTTAGCGATTCTAGAGATGAAATGTATCCTTCTATTACGATAAGCTACTAAGGACTTTCTTGAACAGACGCCTTTTGTCCGAGAAGTCAACAAACTCCTCGGTAGGCGCACATGGAAATTGGGGGGATTTGAGAAACCACAGCTCAAATTCAACGTTCTTTAGGTATTATTGTCAGTTGAGGTGAGACGCTGCTACTCGCTGATGCTCCGGAAGGAGTAATGGCAATACTAAGAGGTGATATTGAGGCTGCCGCAATCTCAGCGTCTCTGTCTTTGGTCGATAGACATGCAAAGCGTCGTGACTGCTAGAAATAGGAGGTTTAAAAGGCGATATCGAGGCCAGATCGTGTTTTCGTATTGAAGGAGAAGCATAGACTTATGGCTGTTGATGGTGAGGCGGGAAATGTTGGAGATCTCCTTCGAGACGGTGGTGGCAGAGTCAAAAAGGGCGAGGGTTTCGTCTCCAGGCCAAACTGTCGAGAAAGGGAAGTTGGTCCAAGGTTTACCTCTCACTTTTTACATATCAACCGAAGAGGATACATTCATATCACACTCTCGCTGCTCACGAACCATATCACTGAGGTTCACCTTCAGCATAAATCTTTTGGTTGCTCTGCATTTGTCAAATTGGCCAAAATCATGTGACTGACCGATCCCCATTTGGCCTACACCATAATCAGGACTTTGCGGCATCTAATCACCTTCAATTCACCGTTTTAGCAGACAGACATCACTGAGGTAAGGTTAGTCTCTGGATGCTATTTATGCCTTGTTGGAGTCTATAGCAGTTCTCCTGAAGCTGAGTGACCCCAAGTATGAGGGCAGCACCGGAGTAGAGTATCTCTCACAATTCTATCAGATCTGAGCATTGCCTCTTCCTTCATCAACTACATAATTCTTGTAGAGCCAGTGGTTTTTGATTTGGGATGGATAAGTCAACGTTGACTGACCAGATGGAGTGGGCGTGCCCGCCATCAATTGAGATCTAACGAAGAAGCATCGGGAGCCCTCGTCCCAATCCCTCTTCTCCCACTTGAAGCAAGAGGACTAGCTCCCCTCTTTATCTATAGGTCCAATTCCCTTCACGACTATAAGTCGCCGAGGTCCCCTCTACTGAGAGGCTCCTCTAGAATCTTAATGATCCAGGCTTGGATGGGAGCCGGCGGAAGGGGCTAATACCATGAGGGCCATTCTATCTATCTTGTCACTCAGAAGGGGCTTTTCACCCCGATATATTCCGCTGAACCCCGGGAGAAGGCATCGTTGTCGGTGACGATACGGCACCCGGGAATATCACGCCCATTGCCTCGGTGGAATAGAAGCTTAAGACAGGACTGCCTCCTGTGAAGCCGGTGCTTGATCACCTGGATATGCCATGTTGTCTGGCCCATTGTTGGTAAGAAACGAGTCACACTGCCGACCGGTTGAGAGGCAATGGAAGTGATAGGCAGAGCAAGAGAACTCGCTCTGGGTCTCGGTAGCATGAGCCCGTCCAAAGGTTCTTCAACAGACTGGGGATCGCTAAAGCTTAGCATTTGTCAACTGCTTTACCACTACGAGACGATCGCTGAGGTCATAATTGAGTAACTTGCCGTGACTCCCAGCAAACTCAAGTGCAATATATCACATACCAGACCTGATATCTTCGCACCAGTGCATCGTTGGCTGGTGTATGTCTTATTGAGAACCCGGGGCCTCGTAGAATGCCAGAATGTCAGTAATCACAGCCTAATATAATCCTATAGGCCTCATGTTGAGCGCATCGGTAACTATTTTTCTTGGCTAGACTCTCATCTGCTCTGCGCATGAATGACTTCTTCATCCTTCGCCGCTCTACAACAAAAACTCCAGGTCTGTCCTTCGGTTAGACTCATCCGCGTATTAAAGCCAATCTGCTTATCCTTCTGTATCATGCGTGTCCCTCAGTATTTATGGCAGTGGTGCTCGGTTGTCCGTGGGAACGAGTAGGCGACCTCTAAAAGAGGACCGAAGTTTGAGTGCTGGCAATGTTGAGCTCCTTGTCGCTGGTAGGTTGATCTTGGTTTGGTGAAGTAGGAGGAGATTGCGGATACAAGTTCTTAAGGATGCCTGGCAGAGGTGAACTACTGGTTCAGGGTTTCGACCAAACGCATGCTGTCTGCTCCTAGCGCTGCGCAAAAAGCACTTCATCAGAAGAGTTGAGAATCTGTCCACGCAAGTCTGCTTTCATCTCGGATCCCTTGTTTCTACTACGGCCATAACGATCGGAGCATACAGACAACATGGAATACCCATCAATGCCTAGCTGTACAGTGCTGCTGCAGTAAGGTATCTTTGGTCCGTCATCCCCTATCCCCACTGTGGATCATTTACCGTTCCCGTCTTCTTCGCCTCTTTGAACCAAGCTCGACAAGACTGAGGCCGACTCTATCAAGGAGCCGTGGCTTCAAGATGCCGTGACCGAACCCAACCACATTGTTCCTAGCCGGCATCGCCACGTCTTTCTGCCCCCGTCAACACCCTGTTCGGGTCTATTTGCCCTGCCCTGCGTTCTTGAGTCCTACAGTGTCCTCCTTGTTCCCCCCAAATCACTACAAACACCTCTTGTGAATAGGATGTTGATGGAGAAGCCGTTCTGGAGATTGATGAGTCTAAACTCAACATTCTAAAGGCCCTTACCAGCCATGGCAAGGACAAGGGCGGAGAGGAAGGCCCCAAACCCAAAGCAGCATTCAGCAGTTAATTGGGTGAGCATGGATGGAGAGAAATGATTCCACAAATGAGCTAGGGTGGGAGCTTTGGCAAGGCCTTGGAAATATTTTATATAGAGCGCATTGTTGTGAACAAGGAGCGCCAAGGAGAGATTGTCACAGCCTGCGCCTCGCCTGAAGATGATTGCTGATCATCACGCAGTGTAAAGGAAAAGACCCAAACAGAGAGGGATAGCAACGCCTGTTTTCCCTTCTTTCCCGTCGCTTTGCACAGGTTATCAGAGTATTGACCTGAGATCTAGACATATCGGCTGAGAGCCAATCGCCATGCACGTTTCGGTGACTCAAGGGGTGACCCCAAGAGCTGAAGATCCCAAGGAGCGAGTACGAGAGGATCCCATACGGAGCCATCAGATTGGTGACTTTCCCAGGGCATATCTCAAGCAGCAGAGATGCAAAGCTTCACTGCACCCTCATGAGAGCTATGAAGTGCCCAGATATTGCCAGGATGGTGTCCTTCACCGGCCACGTCGGCATGCCCTGCATCGGCATACATCCAGGCGTCATCGCAAATGATACCGACGGTCTGTCTTGGTGACGCCTTGCTTGAGTCTTGCATCTAAATCATTTATGACTCGTGCTTGGTAACGGTAAGTGTATTCTATAAGTTTCTAAAACACAAGAAAGTAGATTATTTATCCTCTGTTCCCCTTCCATCTTCTGTAAGATCTTTGTGTTTTCCGATGGCCAAAACACTAAATGCATGGCATGACGACAAGATTGCATTCAACCTCATAATTCTACAGAGAGGCCACAGCCATCTCAACATCCTCCTCGAGTTTATCGTGTCCCTCCTCTCCATCACCATGTCCTTCCATACCGGAGCTAGTAACCTCCCTGTCATTGCAACCCGCGTTGTATCCCATTCCACTGAAGGCTACTATATCCTCCTCAAAAATGAAAAGGTGGTCTGCCTTATGCATTCTTTCACGAAGCGCTGCTTCCTCCTCCCTCATTTTAAACAACACTTCCACCGCAGCCTCGCACTTATTCTCGAGATCCTCCACCTCGATCTCGGTGGATTGCCGCTTCCGATTAAAAAATACAACTTCTCCCCTCTGCTCAGCTGAGTGACTTTCTCCCTGGTCTTACACTTCAGAGTGGCGGCTTCGCCCATAATATCTTGGAAGATACGGCTCTCCTCTGTAGCCAGTTCTAGCGCATCTCGCAGCTCATGGACTGTCATGGTTGAACAGTCAGAGGTGAGAAAATGGTGATCTGCGTCCGGATCGTTAATCCAATCGTGCAGCTTTTGCAGCGCGATCTGCAGCGCCTTTTTCGTGAGTTTGTCGATTTTGGGGCTATGATCTCTGTTTCCGATAGATGAGACGGCAGTAGGGGAGTCGGCAGTTGGGAAGAATTCCATGTCAATGATGCTGTGCAATAAAGTCCAAGGTTGCGGTAGCTATGCGGGTGTAACTCACTGCTGGAGAGGATAGAGGAGAATAGGCAATTCTCGGGAAAATAAAGGCGAAACAGAGCTATATGGTGCCTGATGATGTTCTTGAGGTGTAGATGACGGCCTGGGGGATTGTTTAAGGCGTACGTGGGTGGCAGGCGATGGAGAGAAAGGAAGAGAAGAGAGTGAAATAAAAGAAGAGGAGTTTTGAACTCTGCATTTGCTGAGCTAATGGAGAACCACCAGCCACTCTATTTCATCTATTTTCGCTTTCTGTTTAATCAGGACGTTTGTTAATGTATAAAAGCTCTAAGAGACAGCTATTAACGTCAGTGAAATTTGATCGTGAAACAACAGATATCCAGCACAACTGGTATAACCCTCCACTTTCAGTGGCCTGCTTCGTGTACTGGGACCTGTTTTTCTAGGTGATTCGCGAAGACGCCAATGTGAATGCGTCCACTGCACCAAATCTAGAATATTTACTCATGCTTGTAATGATCCAGCTTGACGCAGACTGCCTCCAAGATATACGTGGTGTTTATTATATCATTCTAGGAAAGAGAATAATTGTGGCTTAGATTCTTGGCAGCAATTGATTCACGATTCGCATTTGTTACTCATCTGCCATTAAGTCGGGATATGGCGTACCGGCCTTTCCTCGCCTCATGACGAGAGTAAGCGTCGCATACACACATTCTCATATGCATCTTTGTAACCCTGAAGATATATACCCGGTTTTTGTGATTGACCTGCTGATTGGACATTCGTTGTAGACACCTGATGATGATGGTTGCTTCAATGCCCTGGGACTGTATCTGGTCAATCTGGCGTATCGGCTATATAAGCATATGTCTCAGGCGTAGAGGCCAGGCTGCAGAGATCAATGCAGATACAGAGTCTAGCCAAGAGCTGACATACAAATGTCTACTATAAGACAAACTATTGTGATCTAAATCACCCTACAACCTAGGCCCAGTATAAGGAGTACACAAGTCACTACAATGAGAAGTTGATTTCACGGCAGACCTCTTGGAAAATAACAGTTTGAACATATTCTATCATAACAAGCAAGATCCCCAGTCATCTAGAACCCATAAATATGGCCACAGACTTTAATAACCCAAACTGTTCCTGTTCCCTCTGACCTCCCGTCCTGCAAATTGTTCTTCTCTATTATTCACATTCCAAACTCTGCATTGCTAACCTCTGCGACCCTTATAAAGACGATGAGGTGAACCGCCGTGAGAGAGTTTTCGACGCTTGGCAGCAGGTTGAGCATCCGTGTCAGGACCCAATGTCAAACGCTCAAACAGACGACTCAAATTTTGTTCAACAATGAGACAATGGCAAGGCAAGATGCCAGTGAGTTCCTGTTGTGGTGGAGCGGCCTCAGGCATCGCTGGCAGGTCAGATGGGATCGAACGATCAGTCTCAGTGACACTGGCTTCATGTCTCTGAGCGAGATCGGGCTCAATATCAAGCTTGCTGAGGAATTCTTGTACACGTTTTCTTTTATCCTTTTCACGGAGATAAACGAAGAAGCGCTTGTAGCCCCCCTGAAATGGAACGTTGGGAGAAGCCATTGTTGGTTCCTAGGTTCGTATACCAGCGTTGATGTATGATAGATAAGGATATACAGAAGTGAGGACTATATGCTCAATTGCAAAGAATCACAAGTCAAATGCCAGCCGGAAGAATAGCTTTTATACCCAGGATCTCGATGGTGAGTGTGATGTCTCTTAGTGCGATGCAGCCTTTGAAGAATTGGATAGAATGAAAGCTTTGAACTGCAGCATCTGCATGATGTGTAAAAGGGACGTCAAAGCAGGTTTTCTGCGGTTGTCTTTGCGATCACTCAACTTGCATGTTCTTTGATAAGTACCGAATTCACCATTTCGTTATACTGGGAGTTAATGAAACTTTACGTTCCTCTGATGGGTGAAGATACGCGATCAGGGGCAATCGTTATTGACTACCAGGGGGGGATGCGTCAAACAGATCAGCTGGAAGGAATGGCTGATCCAGTTGCATTTCAGGGTACTTCACATCCGACGTCAGTATTAAGGAATCACCCGAGCACCTCCAATAGCAACTTGGCGATGTCTTCATCCCTGTGTTCCATCTCGATGTCGTCAAGACGTGATGACAGCGGCAGACTGCTACGTTCTTCGCATACCAGATATCGATGGCTGGCTGCCTTTTCAAGGACATGGCCTCTATCATGGATCCCGATACATCTCTGCATTATACAGGCGGCTTACCTCTGTGCTAACTGAGGTTTGCCACCTATAACATCTCGCAATGGGCGGCAGCCTGTACCCAGTTATCTGATGGAGGGACTTGGGGTTACTCTCAATCGATCGTCGGAGTCGCAGTTGAGGCTGGGCAGACATCCGAACGGTTTGCCGTGCTGGTCTGTTATCAGGTGCAACGGCCAAGTCAAGCTCTACCTCGACGCCAGACTCAATCCTAGAGTCCTTGCCACTGTTGACTCCGTCGCTGGATTCCACCAACGTCCTTGCTGCTAAGGGCACGTCTGATCGCTTCCGCCGAAATCTGCTTGGTAGGTCAGCCCTCAGAACGTAACTGACGCATTGGGATCCAACGGCGAACGGGGGCTTATGACTTCCTCCCGCCAGCAACATACATAATGGCAAGCTTGACTGAGATTGGCATCCGTGTATAACCGATTCCTCACTGATATGAGACTTATTGCAGAAGCTGGTAAAGGCGAATTGTCGTCAGTATCGAATGCCAGGTCAGCCCCGACCCCAAGCCCTGGTCACTGTGCTGAGGATCTCACGATAGCTGGAAGGAGGGCTCAAACCAGCCACGACGCTTTCAAGCCCGCGATATGGCCGTTCGTCGTGGTAGTGAAACATGGCATTGATCCCCAGACACTGGTCGGCATGCTCAAAGAACCCCTTGTCTAATGTCGTGGCGCCCCGCGGTCTTCTTTTCTTCCTCGCCCCAGAGCAGAGTATCTCTGCAGGGCTGAGCTCCATCGATGTCATTTACAATAGCCTCACCGAGTTTATTGCCCTCCACCGCGTTCATTGTGGACCGCGGAGGTGGAGGGTAAAAGATCGAACGCAGGGCTATGCAACCTCTTCACGCGGACATGCATTGCAATGCAGAATTACTGCATGAATAGGCGCAAAGGTATGAACGTCAGTCCACACACTAACGAGTGGGCTGGTATGAACAAAGGGTCATGGTGAGTCATGACGGCATGAAGTGACTGTTGGGTCACCAAGACAGGAAGACAGGGCCGCTTGAAAAGAAGGTTGAGCAGGGGACCGTTGACGTAAACAGCAAGCCGATGAACAGCCACCTAATGCCCAGGAACCGATCCGGCTTTAACTGAACTCTGGGAGTAGACTGATGAAGACTCCGTGAGCGACATAGGGCGCAGACAAACCAGAGTCAACCTGAGACCACAACCTAGTGGAAGTAGAGTTGAGAGAGGGTGCATATCGATATCGACACCATTGCAGCGCCGTCATGTATCCCCAGCATCGATCAGCGTATTGTCCTACTTAGCGCGCCGAGCTACCCAGAGTTTATAGTGTAGATAGAGGTATTCACCGATGGACGAAGCAAACTGGGCCTCGTGGCTCAGTGCTGTTGATCATGATATTTATCCTGCATGTTCCTTTCGATCGAAATTCGACCTGGGGGCCTTTCGGCGTAATGGGGGTTCGTGATTGAGGTGACTTTGGCATAATCGGCGAGATATAGTATCGGGAGTCAGGACCGCAGTCGTTCAAACCGAGGGGACATGCCGTATGGTGAGCAAGATTGGGCTCAAGGCATCTGCTGTCCGTTGAGAACCTAAACAATCATGCTCTGTTCGGCCGCTACGATCGCTTGCGTCTTGGACGTCTGGTACTGAGTGTCGCCCATGAGAAGATAAACGCGGACCAGTTATTACCAGAGCGATTGAGTGACACTGGGCGCGTCTCAATCTGACTTAACACCAATAATGTCCCTCGCCCTCAACTCGTTCCGTCATACATTGGTGCCTCGCAATTGCCCTCGGGTCTTTCGGGAAGATGGATAAACAGGAATGCGAGTATGCCTTCAGCCGTAGATCATGTCTGAATCGCCGTTCCTAGGTTTATGACTGAGATATTGCATAGCGTCGGGCGGAAGTAATGGGGGCGCGTTCGTAAGGATCGAGGGAAGAGACAGAGGGACTGTAGACGGCGTCGCTCGCGGTTCTAGGCTCGGGCGCGATTGAGGGAATTGGGTAGGAAGGCTCTCAAGTTATTGTATCAACGTCCGGCGCGTGCTCTACTCGATTGAATGGTTATAGTTGGTCTTGTTGATCCCCCACCGCGCATCGCAGCATCGCTAACTCACAAAACGCGACGCGATGCGTAACGCAACGTGGCAGCGCGTCGGCTCGAATAACGGCGGGCGTAAAAATTGATCTTGAACCACTGTCGCGTAGAGAAGTTGTATTGTACTAATCAAGGGGCCGACTGATGGTTGGGGAGGATCTATTCTTGAATGACGAAGCAGTAAGTGGGGTGCACTTCCGCCGAGCCGCGCGGCCCCACAAAACCGGCGGCGTCCGGTCCGGTAAAATGGAGCTTGCTTGTTGCTACACGGCTTGACTTGACTTGACGATTCGTCTACTGGGAAGCCTTTGTGTTTGTACCTAGTTAGAGCTAGTTAATATTCTTGCCCTTTACTAGTCTAATATTATCACTTTGTTATCTGAGCCCGCGTCCATATATATTTTAAATATCGTGGAAGGTGAAGGTGCTGTCATTCTCACATGTCTTCTCAAGACCTAATTTTTTCCGTTGTTGTCGTTTCTTGCTCTTCATTAAATATTTATCATCCTACATTAAGAAAAAGAGCCGCCTTTAGTTTCTTTTCAGGCAGCTATACTGTCTTTTGTTTCCGTTTCATGCATTTATTCGTGGGGTACCCTGTACCATGACCTCGGAATAAGTTTTGTATAAGTTTCGTCTATAAAGAATGACATGTACGGAGGATAGGGCAGTTTCCTTTGTATATATAGATGATGAAATAGCCGAAGATAACCCGTACACTCGTTTATATTGCCAGATTGTGAAGCAGCACCGTTGTACACCAAACACCACTCAATCGCCAATTTCTCATGCGAAACGTGCCAGAAGCCAAGGTCACCTAGACAAAAAAGAAGCTTGCTAATCATGGCAAACAACGACTCTCAATCGACCTCGTCTGGATCAACAATATCAACTTTTATATCCTCCAGCGACCGATCATGCAATTCCTCAAGCCAAGGCTGGCCTCTCAACAGCGACAAAGACGATACACTAATACCAAGCCCTACCGATGTTCATCGTACCTTTTGTAACGGAAAGGCAACGTGGCAAGCATTCTTAGACCGGGCGAGAAAAATGCCTTCAGGTCTCTGGCCAGCAGATACACTGGACCCATACATCACTCTGACAGACGTCCCTAGCATGCCAGAGCAGCTACCTCGCCGCGATTGGCTATACGGCAGGCCATGCTGGGAACTACCCTTTGACATTGCAGGTAGATCGTGCGAAGACCATGATCCTCACAGCAATACTGCCCGTATTCATGGCCGCCGAGTTATGTTTCGATTGCAGACCCAAAATCCAATCCAGTGCATTATTTGCCCAGATGCAGCATCCCTCTCCCTTGGTGTCGGTTCAGAGACAACCAATAGCCTTGCTATACTGCTTATGTGCTGGTCGTACATCCTTTCGGTTCGACTTCTTGAGATGCAAGGTCGGGAGGTGCGATTCACCATGGATCGTCTGTGGCCCGATACGTCTCAGCGCCAAATCGAACAGGTGATCGATCTCGATCTCGAAGGCGTGTCGCCGTCACTGATTCGGTGGATTTGCGAGATCCTCAGTCCCAAAATAGGTTGGCAAGCCAAGAATCAAGGACGACTACCGCGAGTTCTCTTAAAAAGTCCTTTTCTTTACTAAAGTATTTAACCTTGCATTAAAAATAGGCATGAGATCTTTATACCTTTAAAAGATTAATCTATCCAAGCCATAGTTAATTTAAGCGTATTTAATATAATGAAGGTAGATTTGAAGCTATGATAAGGAACAAACATAGAGAATGAAGTAAATACAGTTTATAAGCTGAAAAATGAATGGTGTCCTTGGTGTTTTAATCTAGTCGGTGCCTACTTCTGCGGAACCCAAAATCTCATTGAGAACCTCTGAACATAGGCTCACAGCCTCCGCTGGAATTGAAGGGGCTGAAATCGAGCCAATTAAGTCGAATTCTGTTGTGATGTCCGTCTCAGCCCTCGAGAAACCCTCCAAGCGCTGTTGGACGTCTTTCAGGCTCTTCAGCAAATCTTCAACCTCTTCCTCAGCTTGAACCAATAATTCCTTGATATGAAGTATGATGGGCAGATGAGAAGGGCTGATACCTTGTCCTATAGCGTTCTCAATAGACTCAAGTGGCTCCCGAATTTTGGTCTGATGAAAATGATCCGTCCTTTGGATAAGAGCCTTGATGGTGCTACTCACGTACGATCCATCGACTAAGCTGCTGAAAATGCGCGCCAGATGCATATCATCTGTCTCGGGGGGAATTTCTGCTTTTTCAAATATGGCTCCAAAGTTCTCATACCATTCCAAACTCTGCTTAAAGCAACTACTCATTCCCAAGAGTCTTTTGTCATAGATCTCTAAGTCAGATAGAGACAACCTCAGAATCTCAGGTGTGATAGGAACTATGTGTTCTGTTTGCTCTTTCCAGAAATCAGACCAGGCTGGGAGTTTGTCGATAACTATTTTCAAATAGCAAAAGAGTGATTGTCGAACTTGATGCCTTTGAGAGAGATGCGCCGACGGTATTTGCTCAGCATATTCGTCTGCGAATTCCTATATGCACAGTTAGGTTTATACTGCAATGCCTTCTGTAGTATAATATCCAATAAGACTTACCAAATGGGCAAGTTGATTTCCAAACGTTATCACTCTTAGAATCAATGTTGCCGTAAATGACAGCTGACTAGGCGATAGTGTGTTGAGTTTGTTCAAATAGCCTTGCAGACGCTGAAACAGTTTCTGCTCTAGCCGTCGTTTGGTGATCCAGGTCAGAATATGAAGAGTTTTACAACCAACATCTGTAGCTTCCTCATCGGGAACATGAGATATTGGGTTCTTCCAAGACATGAACTCAAATTGGGGCAAAGCACAAAACAATAAATATTTGTCCTACCGTGCATTAGTAAGCGTTTTATTTTAAAGCAGTAGACTTACCAGATCTTTCCCCTTCTCCTGGTATTGGGACGGAACAGGAACGAGAATTGGATGCTCATGCCAGGAAGATGGCTCTGGTTGAACATCTGCGACTTGGGATAGATGATCAAACATGGGCGCGTCGTTATCTGTAGTTTTTTCCAACAAAGTTGTCAGAATATTTGCGGCTGCAGCCCAGTTTACCAGAGCGTAAGTCTTGTGTGGCGGAAACGTCTGAGCCTGGATCTTTCCGTCTGCTCCGCTACCACCGAGGGCAGACACTAAAAGTCCGGCTTTCACTACTGTGGCAATATCTAGATTCTCGACGGTTTTCTGCTGAGATTTGGAGCCTATCGACTCATTGAAAATATTAGCAACTAATTGTTCACCAAGCACATAGGATGACGGACCCAGGAAGTAAGGCTGTAGCTTCACAATGTCGAAGAAATTTGCAACAGCACATGGAGAGATCCAGAGGGTCGCTTTTGACAACTGAAGGCAAGGTTCGCAAGGAAGACCGCCAAAACACTGTATGGACATCAGTACTCGATCTTTTCGGGGATCAAACTGTTCCGCCAGAAGTACCTTCTGCTTCAGTCTGCGACACCTTATGCAAACCCCTCGTCTCCGTGCTTGTTTGCGGTTTTGTCTTTCCTGAGCTGAAAGAGGGCCCTTCTTGCCACCTCTGCGGAGTGGTGGTAGCGTCACTGGCCGAACTGGACCAAGAGTGCCCATTAGTAGGGTCTCCGTCGCGACCGGTAGATACATCTCTGCTCTCGGAGCGGCCAATGAAGGCTCACTTTGCGGGTGCAATTCCTGGGTGGGAGCTCCAGAAGAGACAGACAGAATAGACTGTGCACTGTTTCCGTCAAATTTTGGCCCATTCTGATGAGCTAAGGCGCCATGCGGGATCTGGGCCGCCGCATTCGTATTAGTTTGAGAGGAAGCATCGAGAATGTTTAGCAAATCTGATGACCAGACCGCATCATTTGAGTGATGCGTGCTATCTGCAAGTATCTCTCCGAGACTGATATTTTGATCTGGATCATTGTAGCCCGTTGGCCAGTCGAGCGAAGGGCGCCAAAACTGATTGAGAGCATCGTTCGACCCTTCAAATTGTCCGGGAACTCCACTCGAGGATGCTTCCGTTTCGATGTAATCGCCGAGGGTCTGATCACCTACTGATCCCTGAAGCAACCAGATATCACTCAAGAAGGTATCAAGATTGGAAGTCTCAATGTTTTCGCTCTGAGTCATGGTTACGAAGGGTTGAAGTGGGAGTTCGTGGTCGGGGTCGAAGGAATACAAAGGCCAGGTGTCAGTGGCGTTGGCCTCTTCGTGCTGAATGTCGAGATCAAGCTGACCTACGTTATCCATAGTGTTATTTTGCGGCCAATCGAGCCCAAATGTAACATCTTGATTCGAAAAGTCCAATTCAATCTCAGCAAGAGGCAAAGTAGCCAGCATGGACGTGGGCATCGAAGGCATGTTGTAGGTATCGCAACCAAGGTCAGTGGGTGCCTGGGCTGGTTCGCAAGTGAGAAAGATGTCATAATCGAGAGCAAGAGAGCATATCCCTTAGATTATGAGAACTCACTGTCAATTTCCTGTAGAATTCTATGTCCTGCTTCTTCATTGATAAGAGAACCAGACAGGGGTGCTTCGGTAATTTCAGGGTTAAGAATCAGTTCGGTCAGCTCAGAAGGTTCTTCCGAAGCAAGTTCCGTGGAATCTTCTGAGTGAAGCTCCATGTTGCAAGTGTGTTAATCGTTGAGAATTGCTATACTCTGAGTTATACCGTCTTGGTTGAAGGGACAACACGTCGGTCTTATATGTCGAAGAGATACTTCTGACTTGTACATGAAGGAACTGTGCTTGACAAATTGGCCCACTCTCCCTCAGTTCTTAGCCATTGTTAATGAGAACCGGGTAGTTGAAAATCAGCTTAGCCCCATCAGTAAATATACCATCCAATAGCAAGGTGAGCCGGCCAGAGCGCCAAGACAAACAAAGTGCTTGGGACCTGCATGCTGCCAATCACAAGTCGGACCGGCTGCGGCTTTGTACATGTGTGCGCTTTGATAAGTTCTCTAACTGTAAAAGGAATAGCACAGTTCAATATTATTAGAGGGAGTACTGAGTACCCTGCGCTAAGTCTTTAAGAAACTGCACGTAACGTGGTTAGGTTGCGATATGCGAATTATCATGTCAAATTCAAGGAGCAAAGATTCCCCCCCTCTTGGTTCCTTTTTGCATTTTCTCAGATTGCTGCGCTTAAGGTGGTACAGCCCATTTGTAGCCTGATGTATGATAAGCAGTTAGAGGCGTAACCGTCACGTGCGACTCGACCCACCGTTGGCTGCCCCTCTTCAGTTTATACTGTTCTCCCTTACACTAACGGACTCAAGTTACTGTTATGGTGGACAATGTAGATGAACCGCCGTCAACTGACTTGTTAGCTTCCAAGTCTAGTAAGTTATTTAATATTATTCATTTTCTAGCACCTGGTTTTTTAACCTTATATTCCAAGACTAGAGCAAAATCACGGATGGCGTTCCTCTTCCCGACGATCGTGTCAGAATGCAGAACAAAGAAGGCGACAATAACAATGAATCCAGCGCTCGTGATAGCGACAATAACCACGCGGAGCTTCAAGACATCAATCTCAAGCGAAGTCACAGCGGTGCATTCGCTATTGATGACATGAGCTCGAATTCTTATCCCAGCGACCTCGCTTCACCAAGTCTCGCCAAGCCTGAGCAACCATCACCGCCAGTTTCCGACGGATCTACTCCTGCCAAAAGCCAAGAGTTCAAGGCCAAGTCGCAAATCATCGCTCACAGTGAGGCCTTCTCTGAGAAGATGACGACTGGCTGTTTAACCACACCAAGATCATACTGCGAATTGGCAACGACTACTTTGCCGCCAGTTCCTAATAGCGAGAATCACAGCTCAAGAACCTCGATCATTCTTCCCTTGACCTCACCCTTATTCCGCGACATCACTACTGTCCAGAGTTCATAAAAGGCATCAGCAAAGCACCCGAGACCTTGTCGCTTGACGACGTATACCTTAAGCAACCCAGCCTTATCTCGTGGGATACTAAGCATCCGAACCCCACGAGTATTGCAGATCTAGTTTTACAGGAAGCCGAGATTTGTGAGACTCTAAAGAAGCATCCGCATCCGAATATAGTGCGATATTTCGGATGCTTGGGTGAAGACGATAAGATCGTTGGTCTTGTGTTGGGCAAGTACACCTCCAAACTCTCCGACAAAGTGGCAGATTCCACTCCTGATCAGAGGGTGAAGCTTTATGAAGGGGTTGAGAGAGGGGTGCGACACTTGCACCAGATCGGGCTCATTCATAACGATCTGAATCCTGCCAACATCATGCTCGATGGCAACATCCCGGTTATTATCGACTTTGACTCCTGCAGGCTCCGAGGGGAGAAGATGGGGGACAAGAGGGTGACGTTTGGTCGGGAGTTGGAAGAAGCAGAGCTTGCAGCACCAGAGAACGACTTGCACGGCCTGGAGAAATTGAAGGAATACATTGTTAGTGGTGGCAAGGTCACTTTTGACTGATGGAGGGGAGGGCATTAGCGCCTTGGGGTTGAACAATTAAGAAGTTACAGGCAATAAAAGTGTATTATCCTCATTATATTTACTTGCTCGTTCCTCATAAGAATCTGGTAGGGTTTGATATAAAGTGCATTCGATCTGACCCCCGTGTTGTAGTCCACCTGGCAAGATCTTGGTCAAGTTTCCTCCAGGCCGCTGAAGAGTAGTCGGCGTATCAGTAATGTTCATGACGCACAGGACAAACATAACATCAGTGGGATCCAAAACAGGTACAAGCTTCGCCTTGTCCACAACCGCTGGAGTAGCTGCAACTGCACCGTCGGCAGTACCATGACTTGTAGCGGTAATACTTGCCCGCATTGTTCTTCCTGGTACGAAACTCGCATTGGTCAACGAGAACCTCAACCTCAGCGGCTGCCATCTTGAAACTTATTGTAATAGGATATTGGGCTGTTGCTGGCGGTACGAGACAAGGTAATTGATGAGTTCTATGGTATACACAGCAGAAAAAACAAGGGAACGTAGATGGCTGGCGTCGACTGGGGCAGATAAAGGCGCAATTGCGGCTCTGCGCAGCCTGATTATCTCTGAAGAAAGGGTTGTTGACATGATCTGACAACAAGGCAACTAGTCACAGGACTATGCCGTCACAAGACAGGATATAAGGTCGCAATCTAGCCTCTACGGCGTGAGTAAACCAATGAGAGTCGATACGATGTGCCAGCCACTGTGGTACAAGACATGCCCAAGGGAATAAAACAGGTTGAATCTGCAACCTTGCCTCTGATGGTGTTGTAGAGGCGCTCTGTCGTTTGCTGAATCCCTTGAAGAATGTGTAATCATCACCCAGCAGATGAATCAGGCTCTGCAAAACATGCGAGGTATTGGTCTTGGCTGCATTTCAGCTTTTTCCCGTGTCCCAATGACTCCTCTTATGCTTCCCATGCCAAGCTCAGGCAGGCTTTGGGGGGTTATTGGAGGGGGAGAAAGAAACACGACTAGTAGTCGTATTACTTGGATACTCGTGAGAGACAAAGACAAAGGACCAAGTTGAGGAAGTTCCGTGATGTCAAAGTTGCTTCGATATCCTGGAAGGACTTGCGATTTAAAATTAGCGCAGCAGAAGCCTCAGTTACTCTGTTGTCAGATGTATATCTCTACAAGCCTGATCTTGCCGGGGGGTGATAGGTGCGAAACCGGACTTGATAGTATCGCAAGCCCTCGATGCTTGATGGCGAAATCGTAGGTAAGTAGGTGTAACCTCGAATCGAATTGCAGAGAAAGCGGCAACGTATCAGTTCAGCGTTCCCGCGAGAGCTGCTCCTTTCAAACATACTCCCACAACCGTTGAGTCAAAATGGTACGACGAAACCCAATAGTATTCCTGCGATCTTTATTACTTCGTGACCCCTATGCTGTTCTAGTCGCACCTCGAGTCAAAGTCTTCGCCTTGGCCTACGGCGCACCGCAGGTTATGGTTGAGGAGGGCTGCAGCGCATGCTTGTCCTCTTCATCGACGGCATTGCCTGCTCTCTTGTGTGAAGCAACACTCGCTCGTCGTCTGGCTGGTTATTGGCGGCCTCATTTGTATTGCTGATAAGTATTGTGAAGGTCCGATGAGGCTTGAACTAGGAAAGGGAACGTCGGAGCGATGGCGGCCGTCGGTCATGGCAATGAAGCTTAAGCTGAGGGTCTGATTCTCTGCCGTTACTATTGGGGATTACCGCTATCCTCAACTTGCGACGTCGTATAAGGGTCTAATCGCATATTGCCTTTCCCCAATGTCTCAGCATGTGTGTCGGCCGGTGTTTCGATACGCGTTGGTCAACAAGGACGGCCGCCGTGAAATCTAGGCCATTGCTGACATCATCTGCCCAGACGAGATATCTTTGGCTATTCGGGATATATAAAGTCGTGCCGTGTCGACGCGGCGGGTGAAGGTTTATAGTATCGGAGGTCGAGGAGATTGGAGGTCGTTTCTGTTGGAGTTGATGACAAAGTGGCCATGCTCGTGGGTTGCACTCGCCCCAGCAGTTCTATCTTGTTTAACATAGGCCAGATTGGTTTGTTGACGGTCGGATGGTCAGGAAAAGGAAGGTTGCGTAGCTTCTCGCGCGTTATCGTAGAGGAGAGAGGGGCCAAGAGGTCCGCTGCTTCGTTGGCGCATGACACCAAGACTTGGAAAAGATGTAATCTCGCATGGCCTATAACAACAAGACGGGTATAGGAATTACAGACGACGAAAATCCGGCTTTGGAGGTGATGGTGAGGCTTATTGACGATGGACGTTGCAAAAGCTAAGTAGTTTTTTGATCCGGTGGTGAAATTAGGGGGTATTTGTCACAGGAGCAGGGGTTGTAGAAGAGCAATCAGGTTACAGTGGACAGCTTGACTACTACATGAGGCTAGTCATGCCCACTAAGATCTGGATCCTTACGATAAACGTTGATCAAGATCCAGAAAACCGCCAAATCAAAACTCACTATTCATGATCTTTGATCCAAATACGGTAGTATCGTATTTAGCTTCAGATCTTTGATCGCCACTAGCCTGGGGCACAGTCTCAATTATCCACCTGGCCATCGCCCTCAGAGCAAGTCCCCATCGTAGCATTCATGCGTAGCAAGTAGGTCAAAGCCCAAGGCTACAATCAACCACGATCTTTTCTTTTCTTAAGAGGTCTTTATTCTTCGAATTAATGAGAGGCCTAGAAAGAAAGAAGCTAACCTTTCCCATCTTCACATCATAACCCCACTGGCCGTCTTGCTATTCAACTAATGCCAGGCTAACATCCCACAAGGGATACCATTTGACGAATCGAGTCTTCACTCCACCAACCCAGTGCCGCTATCATTCCTCGCCGCCCTTACACCGATGAACGCGCACCAACATGGCGACAACAACGGGGTTTCGCCCTGAGGGTAGTTCAAGTGCGGACAAATTGAGATGGCGCTAAATAGATGTGTACAGGGTGAGCAGTGGAGTTTTTGGCATAACCCTTGCTTGGGCCACTTTGGCTTCCGAGTTTTCGCGAAGCCTCGTTTCTGGACTGGCAACACGCGACGGGGCTGAATTATCGCGAGTCGTGAAGTTAAATCGATTCAACCACAACATACACCTATGGATTGGGTCTTGAACGCATATCTTCGATCCCGAGACTAATGGTCTATTAACAGTTTGAAAACGGCGCAAGTTGTAGATAGAGACAAGTCAGTGACAGACTGGAACGCTTGAGAAGAATACTTCACATCTACATTATTTCTGTCCACGTCTTAGCCTTTTCGGCTGACTTCAAAACACCGTCAGCTTTGAACTTGGACCCCAAGTGAAACTCCCATCAAAACATCAGAGCCCTTAAGAGTTCCGTCTGTATGAAGCGTCAACGCACTTTCTTCACAAGGATGCTCAGCTAGCAATTATTCGTCTTGAAAGAGTAGACTGGATTCAAGCTTATGCTCTTACTCAACTATGGGTTATTCCAATCTGTGAAAGCTCATCATAAGAGTTTCTCAATAGCATAACAATCTCTCATGACACTCAAAGCCATCTGCACCTCTTCTTTACTCCCGCCATCCCTCCATCTCGGCTCTCAGTGCCATCATACCCCTCTCCAATTTTTTGATCATCGGGATCACATTGCCTCTCAACAAGAAATGGTGACTCTCCAGGGCCAACACCCGCTGCTCCAAACTCTGAGCCTCAAGCTGGCCGTCATGCACCTCTACATCAGGCGTCTTTTCAGCATCGACCCGTTTGTAGTGGTCACAGGCTTCACGGTAGACTTTCGTCAACTAGCCACAGTCAGTTTCTATCTATTTCACGGCAAGACTAGTGCTACTTACCACCTTGACGACATTGGAGTCAACGCCGAGTTTGTCCTTTGCTTCTCTCAAAGCAATAAGGTACTGGTAGATATCCTCATTGATGGCCGCAAGACGAAGTTGTTTCTCGGAGAGTTTGATGCTAGGCTGCTATTGATCAATAATCGGTATCGTACACTGATGAGGAAGCGCGTTGACTTACGGCTTTGTGGTGATTATCATCTTTAGCACATGCGGTTTCCTCATCGCCACTGCCAGCTCGACTGCCCTGGGGCTCGTCGGCTTCGGGGATCGGGCTGACGACTGGGTCCTCGCTGTGCAGGCGTGGTGCCTGCGTTGGCCGTGGGGGGGAACAGGCGTCTGGCGATCGTCGCCGTTTCCTGCCAGAGGCACGTCGTTTAGGAGGCATTGTAGGGTGATTTATCGTGAGAGTAAGTGCGAGTGGGAGTAAGTGTGAGTGAGAGTGACTGCAGGTGGTTGTGAGATGCAAAGAACAGACGGCGATGGGGGTTTTTGTAACTCTCACAGAGGCGATTCATCGCCAATCAGAGGTCGATGGTGGCTTGCCCGCTCTGGAGGCCATTCTGGCGGGTAGTGACGTGAATGATGAGTGAACTGTAATTGTATCAAACGGTCACTCGAGCGAGTGGTGCTCAACCTGATGGTGGGAATGAGGACCAGCCTAGTAGGTACATGATCACAACCTAATTAATAGCAGTTCTCAGGCAAAAATGTGTGGTACATTGTTGGCCGAGTGTGCTGCGGCCTTCTTGAGCATGCCCCTGTGTGTCAACGGCATTCTACTGCTTTCCGTTTGCAACGGCTCGGGTGCCAACAACTCAACACGCCCGCCCTGATTCAAGGAGAAACCGATAGAGCTCACGGGTTTTTCGTCCTGGTCAGAGCAATTTCCCTTGCCTGTGTGCCACCCAAGATATGAGTATCTGTTGTAGCTATCTACGCGGCATCATTTGACTGTGCAAGTCTATTCTAGGGTTGGGAATCCGACAGGGCGTGAATCAGGTCGTCTGGTCACGGTGTGCAAATATTACAGCTTTATATTAATATCTCCTTCTTTACTACAATTGAGAGGTGTAAAAAGGATAGAGCTAGACTGTAGAGATACTTTGGTTGATGTGGTTAAATGTCATCAGTGCATTCTGCATCTGCTGTCGAACTTGTCAATTCTTCGCATAAATTTGAACCATCTCAACCATCAGAACGCTATGACCTGACCTCTGTAAGGCAGCACAATTTAGAGTGTCACGTCTCATCTGCTTCCCGGTCACAGCCAACGCAACATGATATCCATGGGGAAGCGGAAATATCGCGCCATTCTGAACTTGGTCATCTCAACACGAGCACATGGACGCGTTATGATGCCTTTTGATTTCACTTCTGAGCAAACAACGGCTGCGGCTGGGATCCCCGGCAAGTGACAGTGAGCTAGTGATGGTGCTGGGGCGCGCAACAACCCCTGTCATCTGACGTTTATTCGAGGCTGCAGAGTTGACGCTTCGTCCATGCTGCGACGTTGGGGGAAAGCCGACAAGAGGGAATTTTCTGAAATGGCCTGGCTTCAGCGTTCCAGACGACATACGAGACCCCATAAAATGTTCAATCAACATGCTGGTAGCCTCTAAAAATCGACATACGCTAAATGCCCATATTTACAGGGCGGGCTGTGATGAAGAGAAAATAAACATTAATCCAGATTTACTTAACAAGAGGGGAGAAAGTAACGGAGATGATGAGCAAGACTTATTTCATTGCCTTTGTCTCTTGAGTGTAACAGTGAGAGATGAAGCCTTGGACGTCAGGCAGTCTGTCACACAGCGCGGAGAAGATGAGCGATAAAGTCCTCATTGCGATATCCATAAGTCCGAGTCAAACCAGCATCTTGACAATTCAATACAATAGCAGATCTTGAACGCCAATCTAAACCAGCCCGCACACTCGCCATAGTCGCAACGCTCAAGACCCTCGTCGCAGAGGTCAGGATAGAGGCTTGTAAGCCCAACTGACTCGAAGCCGGAGACTACATACCGCCAGCGGAATTACAAAAGGATTTAGAGAACATCTACACGCTTCTTTATGTAAGAGAAAGTAACTTGTCTCAGCTGTGGAATATGTTGTTACTGCTAATGAACTCTCGAACTTGAACTCTGCGAGCAAGACTGGTTCGATAGTTGACATGTTGGAGGCGACACAGGGAGTGTTGGGCGATCCGACTCACCAAACTTGAGTTCAAGATCAGCCACTTCTGCGAATAAGGGTCAGCCAAGTACAAGCCAACCGGATTTTAGTTCTGAGCCTCATCCAGATGCCATTACAAACACAGCAAGTCCAGCTGCAACCCAGTCTGAGGCTTCATCACCAGAACCCATACTGCAAAGCTATGCGAAAAGAGTAACCTCAAGGGCAGCCAAAGTAGCGGTGCACAAGCGACAAGTCAAAACTCGCACCAGCGCCAGACTAAGTAAGATGGCTCAGTCAAACCCGAGTCTCGGACGCTACATCGATGGCCGCCATGACATATCAATCTTGTAGCTACGGCAGCTAGGAGGGAATCTCGCCGCCACAATAGACGCCCTCGCCTCTGACACTGATCAGATCCAAAAGGCACCGTTATCGGGCTTGGTAGAAGCCATGAAGTACCGCCCAGTAGACACGTGGAATCTGGAACCGAGAAATGGCAGAGACGTCAACAGAAACATCATCACAGTTAACTCCAGAGATCATATCTGGATGAGAACAACCAACGAGGAGCAATTTTTCTATCAGTCTGGTTTCCAGGGCGTGAACCACCGCAGAACTGAAGGAGAAGTAGCTCTTATATTATGATGCTTCATCAAAGCCCGAACGTTCTACCCCCTACCACGCGGGAGTCATAAACTCCCCTGTGGGATCTCTGCCCTCTTTATACTGGAAGACTCGCTGAGGCTCAGGAGCTCACAAGGGCTTAAGCCTTACGCGCACTGCAGGTGGCCGAGGTTGGGGACTGCAATGCATCAAGAGGATGCCAATTTCGGATCAGTGAATGTGGGATTTGCTGGGATGAAGGCGTTTCTGCTTGTTGATACGAGATACACAGAGATGTGTGTCCGCGATACGATTCCCGACGTTCCTCCGAAGGGCAAGTGCTGCGATCAGTGGGTGCGCCATCTGAGTATCTTCAGACCTAGGCAACTCGACGGAGCAGGCGAGCGGTTCACAATACTTGTTCAACGAGTAGGAGATCTCATCTTCAAGAAGCGCAAACAGCATTACCAAGTCATCACTATCCAAGATTCGCGCTCTCTCTCTATCAACTACACCAGCAAATTAGATACACCGAGCTTCTTTGACGCGCAGAATCCCCTCTGCTGGTGTCAGACCTAATGCAGCCTTGCTTCTCTCTACTTGAGCGCAGATTTCCATATTGAGATTGTGAACAATAAATCCCAGAAGGCTACGAAACGAAAAACACTTCATGACGAAGATAACTCAAGTGCAAAGGCGATGCGACACAAGGAACCTAAGAATGAGCCCTTGAGTGCAGAGTTGTCAGAGATTTCTTAATGGATAGAAGTTGGTCCCAAAGAATAAGTAGTTTCTACTTTATCTCTACACAAGAAGAAACAGCGCACAGTGTCGCTGAGACCTGATGTTTGCTAAAAGAATATATGCGTGATTGTTAGCTTGCAGGTAAGAGACATAAATTGAGGGACAGAGAAGGGGTAATGGCGTACAGTTGCTCTGCCGTCACAGACCAAAACTGGAGAAACAAAAGCAACGCTTGGCTGTCAGTATTAGTTCCAAAGAATACTTCTTCTGGTCAGTTGTCTGCTGAAGCGAAGTCCACTTCATAGCATTGACATGATCTCAAGCTTCATGATTAAGCAGGGTTTCTTGGTGTAGATGGTGACAAGTATGGCGAATTTCACATGACTCTGACGAGGCAAGGCGAGTCTCGCTTGATGCCCTTACTGTGATGGCCCCCCTGTGGCAGCAAGTTTATGACTTTCAAATAGTACTCGAGTGTTTCCATCAGATTACCAATGTCCCCAGGACCGAATGCTGTCAAGACTGTTGTGCGGGGGATTCTAAAAGCTGTTGCCAAAATGCACACGATTCCCTGCGCAGCTGATGTAGTGGTCAATCTCAGGGTCAATGTCCTGAAGGCCCAAATGGAAGCTTTCTCTCATTAGCTCGCTTGCGACCACAATATGCTTGAGGCCAAGCTCTGGTTGGTGTTGGGAGTGTGTAGATAAGTCGAGGCAGCCTAGGCTCAGGCCTTTAGTAAAGTCCAAGTACTGAGATCGAGGAGCTAGCTTTCTGTTACTTGAGGTCTTCTTTGAGGAAAGAGACGAGTTACCAATCTGGGCAAAGCTGGGATTAAAGGGGGCTGAGTGAATGGGATTTTGTCCTGTCTTTAAACAATAGAGCTCTATGATTGCCTGATCAAGGATATGGCTCTTTAAAAAGACCCAGAAGCCTTTGTATAGTGGTATTCGGACTGAAGCGGACTCTAAGATCATGAGAACCCTGAACTAATTGACCCTGTATGCACCGCGTAGTCTGCATCAGATCCATGGAGTCGTCGAAGACAAAACCCAGGGGCATACATGAGGGTTAATTGAGACGGCAAGAGTATTGAACCTCCCGGTCGCTGAATAGTGGCCGTCTCGTAGTTCAGAATCTGCCCGCGGAAAATGTCGACTCGTTGATGCACCTCTCCTCCTCGGCTAGCACCACCACTCTCCTCACGGTATGTCCTTCACGAGTCTTTCAATAGCCGCATCATCAACATTAGACTCATGGGAGTTTGGCGAGCGAGGAGTCTGAGGAGTTTCAGTGGCCTGGGAAATCTGGCAATACTACACCGTTGGCATTTGCGGTTCATCTGCGTAAGATGGATTGGGATGCTAATGTCAGACATTTCAAAGCGGCGGCAGTGCGACTCAATTGGAGAAGTCAATCTGACATGCTGCTAAGGGGTACACAACGGCTGAAGCCAGTAACGATATTACAACACCCGCAGGTTGTTCCTGCTGAAGCTTATGGTGACTTGGCCGAGAAACCACCGTAAGAGCATCAGTTAAGGAATTCTACGCGTTTCTACCCTCCAAACCAACGAAGGCCCGGCCAATATGCGTAGAGGGCCTCGTCAAATCTCCAAGGTTCAGCGCAGAATATAGGTAGTTAACTTGGTTGGCATGGGTGTTTTGAACTTGCGAGAAGAGCCGGGCAGGCATGACGATCGGGCGACCCTGGCTTGGTTGTTGGTATACGAGGGACTGATCAAGAATATCTGCTGCTGCTGACCCAGTTTAGCGAGGACTTGAGCTTCATAACTATAGGTGAACTGACGTCCCGCGACGTTTATAACCCAGACAAGCTCTTCTACTGCGTTCCAAGGGATGGTGATTCCAGTGCTGTTGTTGGAATTGCTCAAATGAGGACGGTTGCCATAAGAACTCTGCTCATGACCCAGGCAGCTTCGGCCAGCGAGCCTTGTTGTGATCCAAAAGCCAGGCCAGAAAGTATCTCATGCGTTTATACCATTCCAGCAAAGATGTTAACTGGGCGGGCAAGGATGGAGGAAGCGAAGGACAAGCAGGCCGTGTTGCACGACGCAGATGGCGGAGACAGAGGAGACAGGAGGGATGCAATCATGAGGTTTTCTTGAAGACAAATTATGTATAAACGCTCGTCCTCAGCAACGCGTTTGCGCTGATCGAAGACGCGACGGTCGTTGAAGTGTAGTTGCGTGCGAGAGGATAGCGTAATGTTTCGCCGGCTGTGTAAACACCTCAAGCTTCAAGCTTGGTGACGTGACAGGCTAACACAAATTCAGCGAGGCGTTCTGAGAGTTCATGACGAAGATGATAGGCTTGAGTCGCGGAGACGATGCGCTCGGCGATGAGAGATCAAACATGCAGAGTGTGAAATATCGCTGAGCGTCGGGGTAAAGGTTGCTGGATCGGATCGACGGCGTCAACAAACCTGTGAGAGCTCAACCTTACAGAGACAGGCCACCAACTGTCAGCGTAGGCAAATCAACCCCTCGCAAATGGTTCCAGACCTTATGTTTGCAGGTTGGTAATCAATTTCTCAAGGTTGGATCCGATTTCTCGAGGTGCAGTCGTTTGGCTTCAGTGGGCTACAGGGCATATCCACTGGAGCTTAGCACATTCAATTAAACCAACAGCCCGCCACCGCCTCAACCAAACCAATAGAGCTGTACACCGAAGAGCCCTCTCTACGTTCAAGACTGTAGCAAAAGCTATCAAATGCAATAAGTTTAAGTTGGATATATTGACGCCAATTTTAAGTGAAAGCTCATGAAGAACAGAAGTCATCTCCCCAGGAGGATAAGCGATGACCGAGACCAGACTCGGTGATGCAGACTTCAATACGACCGAGAAGACGGGACCATCTTCTCAAATAAACATCTATCTACAAACCAAGCACCACAAAATACCAAGGCTAAGAATGCGTTGCTAAACGCACACGAACGAAGCGTAATGCATCAACAACTTGTAGACCTGGAGATGAGTTCGAGCAATGCTAGTAGCAAATGGAAGGCTGCGAAAGGGAATAGCCGGCCTGTTGCGATGAAGCTCTCGACTATGCCACTTGATGATTCTAGAGGGGAGGGATTCAACGTGAAAGAGAGAGTGACAGTCTTTGACCTACTATAAGCTCCGCCATTGTGTAGTATTATTGTGTAGAGTGCCAGTAACCCTGGCTGTTCGATGGCTGTGGTTCCTCGGCCATCGCCTTGGTCTCGATGGATATGGCGATGGCGTATATGCTTCAAGTTATGAGATCCAACACAATTCGTGTTCTTGGACGCCTGTGTCTTATTCCTTGCTTCGATTATCTCTAGGCCTTTATTCTCAGCTCGAGTGATGACCATCTGGGATCGGGATATAAGTAATAAGATACAGATTATTATCCTACCCACGATTCAGGCATAGCCTTATTCAGATCACCAGATTCCCACTATAATTGTTTATCAAATCAACCCTCCAAAATTTTGTCGTGCATTTGACCCAAGAACTAATAGGACTGGACAGCGACCGTCATCCACAGAGCCCATCTTGCAAGCCTGGACTGCACAATGACGGATATCCTACTGCTTCTTGATTATGTCTGATTGTGGAGAGCTAGGGAGGGAGGGACCATACCAGGGTCAGGAATATCGTAAGCTAGACCTGGGTTTTTTCGGACAGACGAGTTCGAGATGGACGTCACAGTTCCAAGAACACTCCTCTCTACGTAACTCCTCGCACTTCTTCGTTCGGATACAGATGTCGTCGATGAGATTGAATGCCAGGTATTTGTCTCGCCTTGGGGCCGCAGAAGCAAGGTTGACTTTGTTGCTATCAGGGAACTGGACCTATTTTAGCAAGAAACCATCAAACTTGAGGTAGTGAGATACTGACGTGCTACTACAAGCAGTTGAGAAGCGGAACTGTCTTCTGGCAAATCTCTTGGAGACCCTTCTTCAACCTCTCAAGGCTTTCAAGGAGAAACGGCTTGCAGTATGTTCTCGCAGTCTGCACCTTGTGCTTCAATTGCATGGCGGTGACTCGCCCCTTGTGGGACTTGTTGGTGGTGGAGGGAGGTGTTTGTCTTGTGATGGGTGTGCCGATCGATGTTGGCCCTGGCAGCAATATCGTTATCGTCACGCTCGATTGGGGACGCTTCTTGCTTCACAGGGCACGATGCTTTCCAGGGTTGTGCCAAGTCCTTGGCTGCATATTCGTTTTCGTCAGAGGACGTTATGTATCTTGGTCTGGTGGTGTTCGTCTTTGGGTGAGGTTTTGTGGAGGTGAGGTCGGAGCTAGTCCAGTGGTCAGTCAGGCGACAGTCCTGTATGAAGGCAGACGAGTTTGTGGTTGGCAGGGCATTCCGAGCGAAGTAGTTGCTGAATAACGTTAAGGGGAAGAGGAGGAAGTAGTCTGACAATGGTGCGGGTAAGGTGAAAGCGAGGGCGAGGACGAAGATGGTTGATGGTGGGAGGCTGTGATGAATGCACTCGGGTACCGCCATTTTGATCGCTTGTCGATGCCGTCAAATATGAGGACTCTCGAGGCAAGATGATGAAATGGCGTCTTATTGGATACGTGAACTAATCTAGGTATCTGCCCCGCACAGTTTGATCTGATCCAATTCCTTGTCAAGATGATGACGTGATGCTCGCCGTCGAATTCTTCTGCTGAGAAAGATGTGATGAGTTGGAAATGAGAAGCTGGGCGGGGGGCGGCCAGCTATCCAGAGTGTGATGGTGACTGTGACTGTCAGTGATCATCAAGGTTCAGGGAGTATGATCGCTCTGTTGGCTTACCTTCATTGCGATACTGAGGAACTGTGCTGGCCCCGACGAGAATATGCAGACTCTCGGGTGAACATGATATTGTGTGGTGGTGCTTCTGGTCGGGTTCTTGCTGAGAAAGCTGCGACGAGTTGGGAATGAGAAGCTGGGCGAGGGGCGGCGATTGTGAGTGTGATAGCGACTGTGACTGTCAGTCATCTTCAAGTTCCAGGGAGTATGGCCATTCTGTAGGCTTACCTTGGTCGCGCTACTCGGGTACCGCCATTGACTTGCCAACTTTTAGTGTTTGGGTATTGGCCAAGCATGATTGCAATGGATAACAGTGATCCTGGCGAGAACATGCGGATTCTCAGTAGTTGATATCCCGTGTCGCTGCTCTTGGTCGGATTCTTCTTGCTGAGAATGATGCGACGAGTTGGAAATGGAAGCAAGATGGGGGTTCGCTATCGAGAGGTGATGGAAACTACAAATGTTAGTGGTCAAGTACAATCCTTTCATCGTTCTGGGGTTGACTCACCTTCGTCGCGGTACTCGGGTACCGCCATTGTCCCGCTTGTTGATAAGGACAAATGACGAGCTCTCGAGTGAAGAGTGTGCGGTGCACTCGAGAGCCCGCCGCACACTGTCTCCCACCCGCGTGGGGTTGCAAATTCGAAATTCTTGTGCGAGTTGATAAAGGAAGAAAGGGCAGGCTTGTTGAAGGGGAGATGCCGCGATGGTTTGTTGCGATGTGCGTGTGAAGAGGTTGTGAGGCAGAGTGGGATGAGTGTTGTGAAGAAGTTGGACGAGAAGTCTAGGGTCGCTTCGATCTGATGACGTACGCACGACTTCCCAGAACAACATTGCTTGCTCCGTAAAGGAATGGAAAGCATGATGCCCAAGAGAACAAGCACAATTCTTGGTAAGGTGCCACCGAGTTTTGGTACCTGCGCCAGTGCTACAGGGCCTGAGTGAACCACCAACAGCAGGCGGGATGCGCCAAAGCAACGGGCCTCCACTGTTTCACAGCGCTTCTCTGCTATGGTCATCGGTCACCAAATACTTATCGGGGAGCAAGAGAACATCAGACCTTAATACAGGAGTTGAAATGAATTTAGTAAAGTATATCCCAATTTATGCCAAATTATACAATTCTCTTTTCAGTTTAGGATCAAGATCCTGCGTTTTCTTTCATCCACTAGATACTGCCGCTTAAATAACTCATCAGTCAATTACAAGCAAAAGAACTGTTCAAGGACTAACGACGCCATTCATTCCCCTGCCTTCATATCCCCAACTGTTTCAATACAAGCTGTCTCTGGTGCAGCCAAAATGCCATCTCTCCCCCTCAGCACCTCAAGCAAGACCAGGCTTGCGTTGACGAGTCTTCAAAGTTCCCAAAGGACATGAACAGTACACCTGAAGTCTAACCAAGCACCCAACTCTCAGCTATGGCCGAACAAGTCCTCAGGCCATGTCAGGCTGACGACTGTTGAATAGACATTGTATCTTGTCGGCCCCGCATTTGCACCGTGACCGAACTCCTGGGGTTAATGACATCGAATTCGATGGCCTTAAGGTGAAGCACCACTTGTCCAGGGCCCGGAAATAGGGTTAGATATACATCGTTCTCAAACTGTGATCAACCAAACTAGCTCCAATATCTTATGGTCAAGGGCAAGGAGCTTCATGGCTCGAGTATGTCTATCGCTGAGTTCACTTTTCAATTGGTCATGTCGGTTCGTGAAGCGGTCACAATCCTCTGTTGGTCTGATTGCAGCCGCTTGTTCCTGGGTCTGCTCCGCATCGAGGTGCGAGCAGATCTGTCCTGGAGTAGAGCTCGAACTCGCAAATTGTCAAGGTATTGTCTGGGTCATCAGCATCCCGTCCACAAACGCGATCATCGCCTAGCGGATGATGTGATGCGGGGAGACTGAACCTTAAGCGATGGATGTCTTGACCAGCTGCCAATCACAATGTCCAAGATGCCCAAAAGGGGCAGTATTTGTTCCAGGGAGGCTACACCAAGCTTGAATTGGGAAAGGGTGTTCTGTGGAGACTCGGCTCACTTCTAGATATCGCCGTTGAGGACAGAAGTAATGTCGCGGCTGTTCTCGTATCAACACTCAATTTTAGTTTCTGTAAGTAAAGAAATCTCCGGTAGAAGCTACGTGGAGGATGTAATATTGGATCGATTGCTACCCTTGTTCTTGTTGTAATGGAGTGGTATGATTGTGAGGTTCTACCTGTAGGTCCAGCCTGACGAAACTACCAGTGGATCTCGGTTGCTGTACCTATCTTCCAATTTGGCATTTCTATCAAGTAGGACTCATTTTTAAACAATAAAGATCATTCGGCTTTTCGAATTTGCAATGTGGAGGGTTTGTTTATACTGGAGGGCATGTCTGGCAGCCGCAGTAGCATTGCAGTTCCAGACATGTCACCGTCGAAAAGCATGCCATGCCTTATTACAAGACCTACATATTGTGACCACTAATCTTGCTGTTAAGATATTATATGAGCGTGAGCACAACACCAGAGACAACCACATGTATTATCCCTCCAGAGGCATCATGTACAGATAAGATGTCCGGACTCGTCACTGTTGATCAGTCTGCCCGACCGATAGAACGCTCTGTGACATATCCTTTTGACCTCTCAGAAATTTTTCTTCTTTTCGTCACCAAAGCTGTTTTCGGAGTCACTTCTAAATTACCTAGTGTACGATTATTACTACTGATACGATGAGCCAACGAGAAAGCTGCCAAACGCTGGACAACTTCTTAGATTGGAGCTGCTAGTCTTGGTAAGTTTCATACGCGATGCCTACAGCGGGGCCAGCTAGTAAATTTCGTAGAGGCCGAGAGGGGTTGAGGAACTGAGTCAACGGTGGCCTTGTTCGTCAGCCTTGTGGAGGCTGGAAAGGGAGAGACGTAAGGCCATGAAGCGCGAGCAGTTGCGGAGAGCAATTTATTTTGAGCACTTGAGTTGATGCAAAGCCGGTTGCAGATATGGACGGGTCGGGGGTCGCTTCTTTAGAAAGGAGCTTGGGTTCCTCCTGGGCGAAGCGGGTGAAACGACGTTGAAGTGCAGCGGGCACCGACTTGTATTAGGTGGTTCACAAGTGCGAGATTCCTCGGTCTTTCGCAGGCTCTCAACAAGCTTCTGTCGCTGTAAGTCTGGGCATGGCGAAGATGGCATATGCGTTGGTCCAAAAAGCATTATTGGGGTGTTAACTCTTCGATACTCGATGCGGTTGAGGTTCGCGTCGCTGGGACCTTGGGGGTACGAGACTCGGTTCTTGCAAGCAACTTTAGGGGCCCTCAATCTAACACTTGTCGCGGAAGTGAAGCGAAGATGCCGGCTGAGTACCGTAGGGCGTGTCGCGCTCGAGACTGTTCAGGATTTGTTGGTTTAACGCGTAGGATTCTCGGGTCCTTGGCAGGTTGGCAAGGAGCTTTTGGTGTATTGCTGTGGTTCTGGACTCGACGGAAGATGGCATATACTTTGGTCGGCCTAGTATTATCGGGGGGTCGGCTACTAAGGCAAGTAATTGCGCACGCGCGCGGGGCGGTGATTGTTGCGGCCAAGGCCCTCCTCGAATGAGCGGTGGTTCGGGTTCGGGCGCTTGGGGCGGCGGTCCTTGGTGTGTTTCTATGGTTCATCAACTGCTGTAAAGAGTCAGGAATGGTTAGCTACTGTGAAGCAACATGTGCCGCAGACTCTTACACGCGCTTCTCGGCGGGAGGATGTTAACGCGAGGAACTTACCAAGGTTCGGTCGGATGAGAGAGTCGCGCCAACAGCTCGACGGGACGCCGTCGTAGCGCGGGTATTATCCAACGTTTGGCCATGCTCACTCAAAATGTGCTTGCGCAGTCAAAGTGTAGGTGGTGATCCGAAAAATCTGGGCTGTTAAACGCGGAGGTCAAGTCCTAAAGATTGGCGTGAAGGATCAAGCGACGGTTGAGGAGAGAGGTGGAGGGGAGAAAAAACCTGCGCCTGACCTGGACATTTTTAGGTGCAGGGGCAGATCAATTGTGCCCCACGGGGGGTTACGGGGCATATTGATCCACTGTGTTACAGTACGAGGCCCTGTAAAGACCTTTCGCCTAGAATGGAAAATGGAAGCGATGCCAAAAAGCGAGAACGACAATTCAGCTCCTATTCTGCGAACTCATGGGAGAAGTTGCTTGAGTTAAGATGAAGACGCTTATGAAGCATTATATTATGTTATCGGGAAGTTTATAGATTTCTAAATATTCCCTCAGTACCTACGATGCTACGTTAGTAGCCTGTGTGTATCTTGACCATTATCCTCATCTCCTTTGTGTAGCTGACTGCACACCCACCTCAGAACGCCAGCCACGTCGACGGACCAAGAGAGTATCAGCGATAAAAAAGAAAACCCTCCCGTGATGAGATTGCTAGGCTGCTCATGAATCTCGTAGGTGACAATGTGAAAGGGAATTGGTCACAATCAGAGTCGATCTGGTGACTGAGTTCTCCATTCATCACTAAATCAGACCTTCCAGCGCGCAATGTAATAAGTAGGCTCTCTTCTATGCCGTTTCCAAGTAGGATAATCTCGCCAGCGCTGTTCGCATCGCGTAGTCCCTTCACTAAGACCATAAGATAGCTCAAAAGTGGCAACGTGGGTATAACCTGCTTCTCCGGAAGCATGGGAGGTCTCTCGCGTGAATTCATACACCAAATAGTCCTCGTTAGCGATCCTCTGAGGTAGGTGTCGGCTCCAGGGTGAGCATCTGTTTCGGAAGAGTCAATGTAGATATGGATCGCGAATCTTGAGAAACTGACCTGCATGTTAAAGTGCTCTGGATTCATGGCCCAGATCGATGGTGCCCGTTTCTTTCGTTGCCTTCTTCGTGATATCGTAACACGCTGTCCCAAGCGTTCTTGAGCCATTTCGTCGAAGATTTTACCCAGGTCCTCGATACTAGGCTGGTTTTTTTCGGTAGTTCCTTTCTTACCCTTCTCTGCCATTCTGTTCTGGGGGCGGTTCAGAGGATCACGACTAAATGCTTATAGAATGGCCGAGCCTGTGGGCTGGGTACGCTTGGCGGCGACTTTTATCAAGATGTTAGCATTTCGCTGATCATTGTTTGCTGCAAGGCGAAGAATAATGAACGGAGGCAAATGCAGCTGGGAAGCATGTCGTACTTTGAGATGCCGAGGGTTGTTCGTCTTCTGCTGCTGATCCTGTTGGCGTTGCGCCTAGGGCTTCAAAAATGAACACTTTTATCAAAATCGCAGGCGCGTGAGCGACAGTGATATTAGGCTTGCGCAAGCCCAAGCGACGAAGCTAAACTTGATCTTGGTCGTGGTGTAGAATCGGACTGGTTGGCATCCATGACATCATGTCATGGGGAATCGGCAAGCTGCATGGACGCTGCAACACTGCCTGTTGGAAAGACTGCCTTGCGTTTGAAGAATGTTGGCTTCTGAATCTCGACTCTACTGGCGGTTGAATTAGGTATCCTTCCTACGCTTATGGATATTAGTAAAGTCGATCGTCTTCCGCCTCACATGGGCGTTTTGCTCGCTGCTTTCTGGGGGTGTCAGCGACTGAACCAAGCCACTTCATACTGGACAAACCATTACAAGCGACCGGCCATAAATTTGGCTGAATATGACATGCAATAGTTCGATAAGCGTGGGCATTGTCTCAGGCGGATTGGTTGAGATGCATACTGTAGTTGATGGGCAAAATGGCTCCACATTGCCGTTTCGTTGTGAGCTGACTGAGACCATGCTGCGGAGGCGAATCAAGCTGGAGATACTTGGTAAAATTAGTTTAAACTAGCTCTGAATAGTGTAGACTACGAAACATTGGCGGACCGAGCCGATTGCAACGGCTGTGCTAAACTGACACCAAAATCCAGCCAGAAGCCTCTCAGTTGTTTACCTCGTCGGCATCGAACCTGACCCGTGGTCTTTAACTTTTTCCATGAGCCGAATCGCTCAACGAGAAGCCAATTTCTCATGTGAGGGTCTCTCTGTGCGGTTGCCTCATAAACATAGAATAACGGGTATAACTCGAATACCCGGACTGAGACATGAGGGGATCTGCTGGGCAAGATCTTCGAAGCCACGTTTCTCTAGCCCTAACACCGGAATTTATTTCCTCATGGCTGTTGCGCTAATGAAGTCCTTGTTTCAGACATAGAGTTTACGTTTGCTGAATCACATCGTGATCCTTTTTTCGTACTGCGCTGTTCATGCTACCATTGCATGTCGTATATCGTTCGAAACGCCAGAGACGTATGTTCTCAACCATGATTGCGAAACGTTCCTCTGGTGAGCATCCACAGCACAGAGCTTCGCTCCATTCTACAGCCTTATCTGTCTGTCCCCCCTGTTCGTGGCTGATCTCATCTCCACCCGCATCTTTCAGCCGCTTCGGAGATCTCAAGGCCCCGATCGTCAGATGCAAGGGCAAACGTGCTGGGAGGGCGCTGTGGATATGCTTCGCCCTCGCTGATTCGTCGGAGGCTGCGTTATCACAGCGCTTAGCAGGCCCAGATCTCGGGGTGTTTGCACAGTATGTAACCGGGTATGCGGTGCTGACGATCTCTGGAGAAAAACTCAGATCTGTTCCCGGCGATCTAGATACCTGCACTTGCTGTGAACTGCATCCCCTAAATGCAGTATCCTTAAGTTACTTACATATCTCCTCAAGCTGTAGGCACCGTATAGAACTAACATTACGTTTGCCTCGACTCGGAACATCATCTTTCCAGCGTTCATCCCATGGAGGAGGGCATACGGTATGGACAAGTGAGGGGAAATTGCATATGCAACTTGCCGGTCTTAGGTGAGAAAAGAAGCAATGTCGCGGGCCACTGCTGATGGGAAACACATGACTCCCTTTCGCGTTCAAGGCTCCAAGGTTGTAGATAAATCCCCTGATCATCTGCGATAACTTTGTGTTGTTCCCTCTCACAAAATCATCTGCATTTGGCTTTATCTTCTTTCTTTTTTCATTCATCTCTCTTTTAGTGGCTTCGCTTGGAAGCCTAATATTCTGCTGGCTCCTGGATTGTAGGCTCAGTCGCATTCTACAGCCACGGACCCCAGCTGGTTGTGCTAGAATCTCGCCATGGACCAGCCTCCGACACCATCTAGCGTGAGTAATCTAGTCGTTAAACCCAATATTTAACACTAACATCTCTTTATCAGGTCGAAACTGACGATCCATGGCCTGAGTTCTCCGACGCAGAATTGGAGTCATATCAGAAATCGATCGAGAATTCCATCATATCCCCCGGTGGGCAGATGACTGTTGAGAACCACAAACAAACTCTCACCGATCTTTCTGCTGAGTATTCTGAGACTGCTGTTGTAAGTGTACTTCTTCCAGTTCCTGAATCATCTGCATGGCAAGCTAATGCATCTTCGTGAGGCCGCACAGAAGTCTCTCAAGCCTGGTCCGTCATCCGAGCTAGAATTGCAATTCACCTGGGGCTTCCTCGAGCATTTCCCCAAGCCGCCAAAGCAGCCCAAGTCCCTCCCCGACCCGACCGAGTTCCCTAGCATGAAGGGGAGAAAACAGACTCACTCTGTTCGTTTTGCTGAGGACTCGGATATCGTCTCGGTAAGTCTTGTGGCTGTCGCTGGTTGCTTCCCGCGTAGATGCTAATCCATGCCCGATAGAACAAAACAAAAAGGCCGAAGCCACGCGACCCTTTCAATGTTGTGAGTCCCGCGTGTTTATGATGCAAACCCTCTGCAACCAAGTCACAAACCTTGATCAAGTTGTTCATCTATCGGAAAGACAAGCCTTTGGGTGTTGTGAAGCGTGTTCCAGGGATAGATGTCAAGGGAGATTCTATGCGCGACCTGCGATGGAGTCCACCCATCATCTCAGGCGTTCCAGTTTGGATGTTAAGATATTAGAACGCAGCCAGATCAACTTGCTTTATTGACACGAACTGAACCCGCTAACGCATATATACAGGATAGAGCTATGACTATTTTCCGGTCTATTGATGATTTGCAGGAGAAGTTTCAGAAAGAAACCCCATGCGATACCACTGTACGTTCCTCTCTACATTCTTGCAGTATCGACTAATGTATTATCTACAGGAAGCAATTTCACCTATCCTCCAGAACCTCAGACTCCTAAACCACGAGGTGATATGCGCAAAGGTTCTTCACGCGTCTCACAAGCTGGGTAATTGGTCTGTCGGTCTCGATATAAACATGCTCCAAGCCAGAGTCGGGATCCTAGAAACTGAGAAGAGGCGTCATCAACATCTTGTCTCGAGCCTTGAGTCACGCTTGTCTGCGTTGGAGATCAAGGTGATGCGACTAGAGTCAATGGCAGCTGAGAATTTGAAAGATGGGAATGAGCTTTTGCGCAAGGCTCGGTTTGGGAGTGGGAGTCGGATTAAAGCTGAGGTTGAGGATCAACTTGAGATTGAACCCGGGATGTCCATTGAGGCTTGGATTAGCGCGAATGATCGCTGCTATTTTGAGAAAGACAAGCTTGAGCGTCGCCTTGGTTGATGTCTGGATCGCCCTTGGGGCTTAGCTGGGCATACATAAGGGTTCGGGATTTGACATCTCGTTCCGGCCTACGATGAAGAGGAAGTCCCATATGCTTTGTAGCAATTGAATTGATGTATATTTGTATTCTGCGATGCACGTGGTTGTGTAAGAGACACCAGATAGCTATCTGAACTTTTACACCTAAGAGTATGCCCTTCTTCGTTCAAATGCACATCAGCTGGTGTTTGGAACCGATAATCAACACTCAAGTACAGCGTGAACATTCGTCGTCACCATCAATCATTGGGCCCTCCATGCAGGAAGGATCTTACCAATGTCGCATCTGCCATTATCACATAAAGGTGTTGCCGTCCCTTCAATTTGGGTGCCAAGATTCGTCTCTGCGCTGCTGTCTTTCTCACGATCAATGTGTCCACGTCAGACCTACGCTCCCTTGCCGGGGCGTCGGCCATCTTCCGGCTTTCGCGGAGCAGACCAAGACGGATGAGCGCGGCATAGGTTCCAAGACGGGCATTACAGATGGTGAGAATGAAGCCTCGTTGTTCCCAAGACGTCTGTAGATGAACCGTCCGTCTACAGGAGCTCAGAGGCACAAAGTAAGGATGGCCTTGTCAAGCTTGGGCTCCTTCTATCTCCCGAGGTGACAAATCCAAAGAACGGTCAATTAACTCAAATACGCCGCGATACCATTGTCACATATCGATTACAGTGTGCTCCATTTAAATGTATCCCTCAAGCTCATACCTATGCGTCGCGAATCTTCTTTACAAGAGAGCCAGGCACTACAGAAAGAAGTAGACCTGCTACAAACATCCAAGGGCTTTCTTCCTGGTCGGGAACCCTCGAGTTGATAGAGTGTTACTAAGCGCTTTTGCTCAGTTGCAAAGGGATCAATGGAAACCGTTACTATTGACGTGGTGTGTTGGGACTCGGAACTCCTGGTGAAATCAAATGAGGATAAAGGTGCTCAAGATACAAGGGGCGGATGAATACAATGTAACAGACGATCGAGTGCGAGGTGGCACGCTTTCAAAAGCCCGAGAGACTGTCGCCACGTCCTATTTCCTCGAGAAATCAGGCACGATCAATTTCCTTCCAAAAGATCTTTGTTCACTTCCGTGCCCTTGTCAAGAAGAAGACCCTTGAGAAAGGTACCAGCAAGAGGAAGGCGCAGCTCGTGGCCCTTGCCAGGTATAATATCAGGGGTAGTCGGGAGATCGTGATTGTGCGTCGATCTATGCATATAGTCATTTGCTATCTAGTGGAGAAATCCGACTTTCCGCTCGAGAAGCTTTGAGAGTCCGGCTGAACGCGAGATATCGTCTGTCTCATGCTTTTCTCCATATTCTGGTGATAATGCAGATCCCACACGGCTGGAAAAGTCCTCCTGACACGCTCTAGATCTCCTTTTGCACCCTTAGCTGGTTCTATATATCATACCATGCCTCCAGAGAGTATGCCGTCGTATTGGTCTTAGGTCTACGCCACTGCACTTTTATTTTATCCCGTACGAAGTATTGCAAGACCGAATGGTCGCTTGGTGTCAGACGCCTGTCAAGTGAAAGAGTATTCAGCTCACCTACGATGGGGTTTTTCATGTCGTTCTCGGTATAGCCTTGCACCTTGAATGAAGGACATCAACGTAAGCTTTGTGTAAATTCGCTCTCTCGTTGACATGAGGCGTAGATCTTGAGAGTATCTGCCTCTTAGCTATCAAGGTTGTTGAGCATCCAGATACCTAGAAGCAAAGGTTCGGACGAAACTACTGTCGACCGTCTCTAGTATCCTGGCCTTCAACTTAAGCTGGTCGAAGTTTCCCCTAGGCATTGGAATGCCAGCGCCAACTTATCTCCAAGTTCCGCCCTGCCATCCTAAATGGGGGGTTCCCAAAGAACAGCACGGCAGTTGTCAAAGTACAGGTAGCTCTTCAATCTACCTTTGCCCATAGCTCTTTATGGCCGAATCAAGGGCCAATCTAAATAAAGAGACACAACGGCAATGGCTGAAGAGGGCTCTCGGAGATTTGACAACCAGACCCCCCATTGAATGCACAACGAAGACACAGCCGGCTCTCACTGCCTATTCTTAGGTCCGCCAGACTATGCTAAAGGCCTCATCAATGGCTTATAACATCTCCATCCCTCGGCTTCTTGTGTAGGAAGTGCGTGATGTTCGATTCATACCCATACGTCAAAATGCGAGCATCAGGGATATCCAGAGGCAGAAGCTTCTAAGACAAGAAGCAGTTTTCTTCCTTGGTTTCTGCAACTGCCATAAATAACACTGGCAAGGAAAAATCTGACCCAGAGTCTCAAGAGCGTGAGAACACTCCTGGCACGGCTCCACGTCTTGTAGTTGTGGAGGCTCAGTTTGTCAGTCAAGAATTTAATATATGGCTACCAAGGTCCAGAACAGAGACAATTTTACATCCACGGAACCTTTATCCTCTAAAATAGTGAGAATACCCCATGTCTTAGAGTCAAGTGATTTATATCGCCTGACGACAGACCTGCAAGGTGTAGCCATCTGCCAAAGACGACAGACTGGGACAAGATATTGCTCCACGATCAAAGAGCGAGCAATATGCAAGAGTCAGGATGAATGCAATAAGAGAACGACAGATTGGAGTATTGTGAGAGCGCCCTTTCTTCTTATTTTGCTGTATATACTGGACAAGCAGGCAGCAATTGTGTTAAGCTGTACATCAAGCTGATCAGTTCTCCCCACACCTGCGCCGCTCGCTAAACCTCAACACTCCACACACAGGGGCTCACTATTACTCTTTCTGGACTCAAGGCATTTCGTGATTCGTTCTAGTGAGGGCCGGCTAAGATACATCTCAGCGGGCCGAACCTTATCGTGAACTAGCTGTGATTGACAATTGCCCAGACGGAGCCATAACGGGGATTCGAGAAAAAGCGGCTTGAGATTGCAAGAGATATCAACGATCTGTATTAATCACTTATTGATACTTGTTCACAATATTTCTATGTATTTTTAAGCTGCAGAGAGCATTAAGAACAGTACTACGCTTTATTGAAATGGAGTGCTGCAATTAGATATGTTGTGTTGCGCGGTTGATGGAGGCCGCCGATGTCATCAAGTGTAAAAGTGTTAGCAAGGGTACTATCTAGCCATCTTTTCCGCCCAGTATGAACCTTCAGTCGGTGCTCTTCTACGAGCAGGTCATGCCATGCCTTCCTACGATTATTGTAAATTGGTCAAGCCTACGGGAGATAATGTTGATGACCATCAAGAACACGGCTGCGATTGACTGAAATGACGCGATTATATTTCCTTTCCCAACCTTTCTGGTGAAGGCTGTCTATTTTGGCGGCCAAGTCCTTCTTAAATCCGCTTCACCCAGTGCCATGCCACGAATTTCCCCTAGTGATTTCTCGCGCACTTTGCTGAAGTGAGTATAGGATGAGGTGTTTCTTCTAAGGCCATAATTTAAACATTCCTAATGCCATCTCGCTCGGATTCCTTCTAAGATCTGACTAACAAGGTCTTCGGAATTGTACAGTCGTGGCTTGATCACAGCACCATGCTGCCTTATTCCGTCGGATGGGCTGTAAGAATGTTGGAATCCGGTTTCAAGTCCTGGGTGTGCAGTTGGCTGATGATGGTGTTGACGATGGACATTGTCTCCGATGGTGCGCGGTCTTGAATCAAGTAATGGATTGGCAGCATGTCTAGACAAGCTCTCTTGAGAGCTGGGTACCTTATGTGAGTTTCAGCTGAGTTGGCCTATGCCAGAGCGCATCGACGCATTTCACTGATGTGCTTTTCAACCATTCCATTCCGCTGCCGTCGTACAGCGAATGAGATCGTCGAACTTGGCACTATTCTGGAAGCCCTCTGTTCACTTGATGATATGGTCATCTCCGTGCGTGAAAGAAGCGCTTATATCGTCGGCATAATAGACATGGCTACCATCTTTACTGCTTGTAGAATGACTCCTTTGAGTTGCCAAATGACGTTGGCCTTCACGAAGTGTAGAGGCCTTGGGAGTATTCTCCGTTTTTCTTATAAACAACGTGGAAGTGTGAGTCTTTTTCGGATCTCGGGATTGAGAAATGAAGAGGATAGCGAATCCACGCTGTCAGAGATCGCCGATTTTAATCCTCGTCCGATAAGTCACTGGTCTTTATGCAAGTTATCACTCTCGTTGGCTGGTGATAATTTCAGAAAATTTGCAGCTGCAGAACAATCTCCATTATTATGTCAGCCACGCCCTTAAAATAGTAGTAAACAGCGAGGAAAATACGTAAAGTGATTGCTCTCTACAAATTTCATTCGGCATATGAACTGTATCCTTTCCAATCTCGTGAAAGAGGATGTATTTACTCATTGTTGTTGCGATCGCACAATTGAGCTTCACCTACCCTGTAGTTCGCAGCCGAGCATTTTGAATTGCTGAGTCCTCAAGACAAGCAAAAAATTGTCGGGCCGGCGAGGTGGGGCCAGGATGATAAGAATAGATTACTAAGAGCTACTTGCCAATATACGTAAATTACGTGGGTCTCGAGGTATATCTTAGCTGATGCCTCTAGCGCGGGGTAAAAGCTCCGACCGCACATGATCGTCACGTGCCTGCCGCTCTCCAGCTCTTGCATTTTGTTTACCGACGTCATTGCCCATGTTCAGCGTTCAATCATTCGCGACGTGCCCGATTTGCGCTGCAGCATGCAACAAAGAGAGGACTCTGGCTTGATGCCGGCTACATTGAATAGCATCTCTGACGGTATATATGCTCATCTTGTTTCACCCGACCCCCTCAAGTACGCGTCAGCAGCACCCTCGACGCGACAAACTTGGTCTGCATCGCAAGCCCCCTCTTATCCCTCACGTTAGCAAAAGCTCAACTGCATTCTACCATGATCAAGTCACTAACTCCGCTTGATTAGGGACCGAAAGCCTTCGATAACACATGAGCGAGCGACGCGCCGACAATGCTCCTACCTCGATCAATCGATCCTCCCACTTTCGACTGCCTGACGCAGGGAACCAGGCAACCTGCGAATCACATTCAATACAACAGGCCTGCCATGCTCCAAGCCAATTCGGCTACAGACTGTAGCAACCATCGACATGTCCCATTGCGCCTCCACGGTTAGCCGTTGACCTCTGGCTTTTCGTCCCGTGCCGACCACAGCCTTTGCCCAACCCTCCAAGGTACCATGAGAAACCCGCGCTTCTACGTCAACCCGAGCTTCGCCATTTGCGCCGAAACACGATGCGAGACCCCCACTCGCCATTCGCAATTCCAGACAATTGCACACCCTCAACCTCGAGAGGCGACAACAGGCCAAACAACTCAGGGCATCATCTGACTGGTTGGGTGGTGGAAATGTTCTGTCATTCTGCACGTGGTACGCCGTGTCACCAATTTAATTCTTCGCGAAGAGTTGTTTGATGATAATATGGCGTAGCCGACATTGGCACCTCTCTCGCGCGGCATCTGTCGGATGATCCTTGGACTTTGCGCACTTGTTGACCTCGCTGAGCCCCAATATCCCATACTAATCCGCTGCTCTTCCCACCCACCAAGGGGACGAAGAATCTAATTCGATCACCAGTCTTAACGGCCATGGAAAGTGAAACATCCTTGATGCGATGTGTTTCGTTCTCGGAATTGCAAACCAACGGTTCGGCCGACAAAAGGACGAGAGTTTCAATTCGACCACGGGTCTCAACGGCAGTGGAAGCCAAACATCCTCTTTGAGGTATGCTTCGTTCTCGGAATTACAAACAATAGCCCAGGCGCCAAAGAAACAAGAGTCTAAATTCGATCGCCGGTCTCAATATGGAAAGCCAAACAATTCTGTTAGCGAGCAGCCAGGGACTGTAGCGGCGATGCCTCCCAGGAATCGACGACGGACATGACCTGGCAGGGGAAGTGGGAACACATCTTCAAGTAGTGCGGTGTTTCGTTCTCGAAATTACAAACTTGTCAGCATTCGAGCGCAAAATCTACAGGTCAGTCACTGCCGATCCAGCCACTCTTCATCCCCGACTGACGATAGTGCTGAGACAGATGTGATTGCCCTTCTCAGCAGCTTCCGGCGGTCGCGGCTACGAAAGAACATTATATCGGATTGAAGCCACTTCTTCGCAGGCGGTTATCACATCCTCGATTGCCGCAGTCGCGGGACTGACAAGCACATTTGCCGCGGTCGGGACTGTCTCTGGGCTGCCCGCTCGCGGTCATGGAAATGCCTTGAACGATACTTCCGGATTCGCAGGCTGTCTTGGAGATACCAGAGGATACTGCTGCTATTCGAGAAGCAATCCGACTCGACTTAAGATCCCACACATTTCCATCCCCGATCACGGCCGCTATGCAAGCACCATGACTCGACCCCTACCGACAGCAAAGATCTCAATAGTGCGCCCGATTCATATCTACGCCTTTGAACCAAGAGATCTGGCACCGTCGCCCGCTCTTCCTCTGAGCGTTGTGTCCCCCAGACGATGTTTTTTCGGAACCTCCCTGCAAAACCTCACAGCCACCAACATCATCACGTTGGCGGCCGACACAGGCACGAGCCAGTCAACGCTCAAAGGGCCAGCCATCAGTGCTCGTCGCTGAGACTTACTGAAACCTCCTGGCCTCATACACACAACCCAGCTTGCAGCCTAAGCTTGCCTCTGTAATGATGCATGAGTGTAAAAAAGGGGCGTAGGTTCCCAGACAGATTCGTGGTCCCTTTCAGCCCCGTCGGGTGCAAGCACAACAAGAACGTTGCCTAACTACCACAAGGCAAGCCTACTGATGGCTCGGCTCCCTTGTGACCACAGGGAAAACGGATATCGAAAACGCAAATGAGGTAGCACGAATCGAGATCATAGGAAGAATTACAGACAGATTGCCAAACTCAGTACGATACGACGGGTGCGCTAAGAACGACCGTCCCGTGCTGAGAGTCGCATGCGAGAGTGGCCCGAAGCTTCAAGGCCCTTCTTGAGCACCAGCATTGCGATCAAGAACAGAGAGCTTGATCTCGTCCGTGTCGCAACATGCTCAACCATCGATTCAACAGTCATCACCATCTTCATCCTCCGACTCTTCCCATGACTGGTGATGCTCATCTCGTCCAGCCGTATTGGCTGTATCTGCTCCAAGCCCCTGAGTACTCCTTCACTGGCGATCCTCGTACATTTCATCATACAGATCGGATACTAAATCTTTCGCCACACCAGTGCTACTTAGAGCTTGCAGTAGCTATCTAAACGCCGAGGATCGAGCCGGATCTCGAGCTAGAGGCACTTGAGGCCCTCATTGCGAATAATAATATTACTGTTGATGCAAGCCTCTCTGCAGTATAGCCAATACCGGCGACCAGCCTTGCTGCCAACCATGCACTCGATCGCAGTCATTACTCTCCACCGACCAGATCTTCTAATCCCGTACTTCAAGGACCAAGACGGTCAGTTTGAATCGCCTTCCTAGGTTGCTTCCAAAAGAAAGTGTAGTGAGGATCTGATTCAGCTGAGATCCTATAGCCACAGACAGTAAGTCGAGCTATGGTTTTCAGCAGTGATGAATGCCGGATATCAGTCTTTGAGTGTAAAACTAAACGATTAGAAAGCGGCGGGAGCAACTACAAAACAACAGTCTCTATACCTTCAATGTCACATAATACCAGAATCGGGCCGCCAGGTTGACTTTTTCTTCGCTCGAATCCAGTTTATGACACAACCTTCAATTTATTTATATATTTCCTTTAGCTTCTTCTCAAGTATCCGATCTCTGGAATAATCGCCCTCTAGTGTTTAACATCGGCTGCTCTTTTCTCAGCGTTGCTTCCCTGCAGTATTCCAATCATTTCAGTGTCACTGTAACCCATTGGCCAAAAGAATGGTGTTCGTCCTTCAGCGTCCTCAGAGTTAACATCGGCTCCGCTCTCAACCAATACTCGAACAGTCTTACAATCTGCAGATTTTGCTGCAAAATGCAGCGGGGTTTGCCCTGCGCCTCCGTAAGTGCTGGTGCTCCTAGTCTCCAGACTGGCCCCTGCTTTGACCAACTCCTGCACAATGACAGCGTGCCCATTTTCTGCAGCATATGAAAGAGGTGTGCGGCCAATACCATCTGCAGCATCGGAATTGGCATTCCATTCACCAAGTAGCATTCGGACAAAATCAAGGTGCCCTTCACTTGCCGCATATGAAAGTGGCGTCCTCCCACTGCGTTCTCTATTATCACCTTCTGTTCTCGAGTCTACGGTTGCGCCCCGCTGTAGCAGAAGCTCAACAACAGATGGATGTCCATGTTCTGAAGCAAATGAGAGTGGTGTTCTCCTTTCAGGACATCCCGTTCTGAATGTCTTGTAGTCGGCACCTCTCGATTCTAGTTCAGCTCGTTGGTCAAGCAATAACCGAACTAGTGTCCCATGGCCCCATTTTGCCATGTAGGACAGTGGCGTGCGTCCCAAATCATCTGGGAGGTCTATCTGGACTCTCCCAGTATCAATGAGCAGTTTTGCGGCGCCCTCGTACCCATGGCGTGATGCTAGCAATAGTGGTGTGGCATCACCGACACAGGGATCACCTCCGAATTCAAGGAGTAACCCGATAATAGCCTCATAGCCCTCCTCTGCTGCAAACGACATTGGACTTTTCACGTAGGAGTCACTGTCCATACCTGTAGAGTTCGGTTTAGCGCCTCGCTCCAATAAAACTCGCACGATATCTTCGTGACCATTTTCAGCCGCAAATGACAATGGCGTTCTCCCCTCGTAAATCTTGCTTTCTGTGACTTTGGAATCTATATCAACACACGCGTTCAACAGTAACTGAACAACAGAATCGTGTCCTCTTTGTGCTGCAAATGATAACGACGTTCTGCCCTTTCCATAAAGACCTGTAGCTTTAGAGTCGGCATCAGCTCCTTTTTCTATTAACAAACGGACAATAGAGCTGTGCCCGTTCTCCGCCGCAAATGACAATGGTGTCCTCTCCCGGCCAGAATCAACAGTAGCGCCAGACTCTAATAATAGCTGCACAGTACTCTTATGCCCTTTCTCCGCTGCAAATGACAATGGCGTTCTCTCTCTACCAGAGTCGACATTGGCACGCCATTCTAATAGTAGGTTGACAATAGCATCGTGGCCGTTTGACGCAGCACATGATAAAGGTGTATCTGGAAATAGAAACCTCTGATATCCCTTTATAGGCTGTGGTTGAGGATTTGGATTGGCCCCCTGTTTGAGTAACAGACCGACAATATTCTCATGGCCTCCATATGAAGCATATGACAGGGGGCTGATCCCACGTTGATCGCTAGAGTCTAGGTCATTTGTGCTCGCGTCAAGTAACAATTGGGAAATGTCTTGGTGCCCTTTTTGAGCAGCAAATGACAGCGCTGTTCGCCCAAATTCTTCAGAGCAAGTCATACGAAGATCAGGGTCAGCCCGTTTTTGCAGCAAGAGGATTATAATATCCTTGTGTCCCTTTTCCGCTGCATGGGATAGCGCTGTGCGCCCTGAGTTGTCGTATTCCAACTTAGCACCCGATTCCAACAACAGCCTCACTACAGCCGTATGCCCGCATCGAATAGAATATGAAAGTGGCGTCCATCCCCCTCCGAATAAAGTATTAGACGCGAGGTGTATGCATGCCTTCTGGTTGATCAATGTCCGAACGGCAGCCTCGTGGCCTTTCTCTGCAGCAAAGGATAAGGGTGTTCTTCCTTCATGTTGGACTTCGGAAGTACCCTGAGAATCTTTATCAGCTCCATTTTCGATCAATAATTCAATGACAGTTTCAAATCCCTGCTCAGCCGCATATGATAGTGGAGTTCTGTTGTCATCATCGGTTAAGTCTGCTTGAGGGCATGTTGAAAGAAGTTTCTGAACGATATTCTCCAGTCCAAAATATGCCGCGATATGAAGTCTCGACGTTGACCTCGGTGGTTTTGGCCAATACCACATGCCTGATAATAATGATTCTCTGAGCAGGAGTACGCAGACCGATTTCATGAGTTGTGTTCCGGGATTGAAATGTTCCATCAGTTCGTCGACGGAGATCGATGAATCACGAGCATGATGCCCCCAATTCTTGGCTGCGTAATGGTAAAATGGGTACGGCTTCAGTCGATCTTCCATGCCATCCCAGCTATCGTAGTAGCCTCCTTCAAACGAGCTGAATGAGAGATAGGCGATACATGCTCGCGCAATATCTAGTTCCGTAACAGGAAGCAACTGGCAGGGTCTTTGGTTGATGTATTCTTGCACAGTGTAGTGAGCTAGCTGGATAGTTTTCTTGGCTTCATCGACAGCAACAAGCCCAACACACACTGTAACCAATGTTTCGTCGAATGGCAAATCTGCTTCGCAAGGTTCGCGCTGCACTGAGCTCATTGCGAGAGCATGTTGGAGTTCTTGGACAGTCAGTTCTCTCTTGGCGCGTGCAATCCAAAAGAGCACCCTTTTGGCAAGTATAATGTGATCTGGCTGTTGTTGGTTAATTCTGTCCATTGTCTCTTTGTATGCTTTAGTCAATGCCTCGGCTATTCCGTCTTTATTTCCATCCTTCTGGAAGGCTGTCAACTGACGTCGCATCTCAGTCTCTGACGTCTTGTAACTTAGTAGCTTTAAGTATATCTGTGCCAACAGAAACCTGTAAATGATGAGCATTTGCAGTAGCCTCTTAATAACTGGGAACCTACATTCCCTTCGCAGACTCTGAGATTTTTTTAATAATGTCGTTCTTCAAGTTTCTATTTCCGTTTATGGCAGAGGGCAAAATGTTCAAATTGTGCTCGACATACCGTGCTATGTCTTCCGTGGATCCCAGGATCTCCAATTTTATCGCATTTCCAAAGATATTGTCGATCTCTGCGATGATTCTCTTATCGAACCGCGATGTCATCAACACGTTGATCTTATGTCTCCGCTGGAGCTCACGTAGAAGACTAAGGAAGATTTCCCGTGAGCTTCCACTGGGCCCGTATTCGTCCAAGGCATCGACGATGAGATACACCTTGGAATGCTGTGCAGCAACATTTTTAAGCGCATTGAAGATGTCTTGCCTTTCTGGGCGCTTTCCACCCCCCTTATGAGAAGCATAAAGACTGTTGATATCGACTGGTAACGAAGGCAACTTTGCGAGAAGCTGTTTCAGGAGAATTGACAATAGCTCATCTGGGTTTTGAAGGTCATATCGTTGGAAATTGCAATAGATATACGCCAAGCCAATGCTAAGGTCATCTTTAGAGGCTGATTCAATGTGGTCAATCACAACTGATGTCAGAATTGTTTTCCCTGCACCTGGAATACCTGGGCAAAACAACGTTTGCCCGCATGTGGCTATCCAGGTGCGAAATTCTTCCGCCTCAAAAAACCAATTGGCAGTTCCACATTGCCTTTGGTTCTTAAACTTTGACTGTTCTGAAGCGTAGTCAGTTTTCGTGAGCCAATTAAGGATATGGGCTTTATGGCTTTCTATGTGCATAGATTTGATCTGCCTGACATCTTCTTGTGTTTCGGATACGACTGAATGAACTGGCTTTGTGTTAAGATTGACTACCGAAGAGACATTCCGTGACATGAACTAACCATCTTGTATTATATCCTTGATTGGACGTTCTCTCTGTATATCGTCTGTCTGGACATGTTGCAGAAGTTCCTTTGCGAACGCGGCGGCCACAATAGCTGCATGCTCTTGCCAGTCCTTGTTCTTATGGGAATCTGCATAATCGCAGATACCTCGAATAACAAGGCAAGGGAAGTGATTCATAACCCCTGCTGCCTCCATTTCGATACAGAGGACATGCCCTCCTAGGTCCTTATTAAGCTTATTTCGGGAAGTGGCGCCCTTGATAAGCCCGTCACCTGATGCAATAAGCCCATAGTGAACGACCATGTCCCTAGGACGTCTCGTTACCGTCATCGACTTGTCACATAAGTGGCAGCTCTCATGCTCCTCGTCTTCGTCTTCGCCCTCATCTCCATTTTCTTGTCCTCCTCCTTCTCCACGTAAGGTCGACTTTTTGACATGACTGTAACTCGCCTTGAACAGCACATCTTTGAGTGAATCGTTTCCCAAGAACTTCGAAGCGAGCATTGGCCACTTCTTTTTCACTTCTTCCAGATAAGTCGGGATTTTAGTCCCTTCGAGATTCTGCTGTGCTTCCAAGAGTGTCAAAGCTGTGAGGAGCGACTGGGGGGGATGATCAAGTGCCCCGGTGCGTTCAAAATCATCCTTATTATCATGATGCTTGCCGAAGTCCCACTTCACAACACCTGCGAAAGTGCTGGTGGGCGTGCTGACCACGACATCTCCCAGTCGAACGTTGTTAGATGGAACGCCGCCCCCGATACCAACCATCAGGCCAATCTTGATAGAAGGGAAATTATTTGCCATATTCCGGGCAACTGTGGCTGCTGAAACATTCCCTGTGATACCTTTAGGCAGACAGGCCATAACAATGTTATGGCTTGCAATAGAGCCAAGAGTGTATGCATTGCTATCTGTCTGAGGTTTTGGTAAGCCCGGGTGTTTCTCATCTAGCATCGCGATAGATGCAGTAAGCTCTTTAGGTAGCGCGCAAATCCAGCCTACAGTGTAGTCATTGTGCGTCAGAACATCGCGGCTCTTTGGCTTCTTAGCTGTAGCTTGGTCGGCGTCCTCATTGGCCTTTCTCTTCTGCCCCACTGCATCATCAGCACTCGATTGTCCTTGTGGCATTGCGGCCGGGCAGGATTCTTTGCTGCGAAAAAATGTTCCCGTGGCTAGTGATGAGGCAAGGAGTGGACTAAGTTAAGATGGCTAAATTGTGAGAGAGACTGAAGGTTAAAAGTTGAGGCGAAGAATGGTCAATCGGAGTGCGGACAGGCACGGTACTTCATTTCATTCAACCTTCCCCTCATGTCAGCATGTCTGCTCAGCTTGACCAGGGTAATATGCAGTAATATGCACGACTGGGAAGCGATCTGCCTAGTGAATGCCTTGCCTGGAGTTCTCCACCCTGCCTAACGAATATGCTCCTGCACTTTGCCTAATGCCTGATCTTGCATTGAGTTTGGATAAGGCTCGTAGAGAAGGTACCTTAAAACCACACTCTATACCTCGCATCTCTGCGGTTTACTCAGAGACCCTTTGCACAGAATCTGCCCAGTGCACGCGTTGAGATTGCCATGACATCCTCCCTCTCACGATAAATATTGTCAAGCATTGCTTACTGCAGGCCTGGCTTCATCTCGACCAGCATCTCGACTACTGCCCTCCTTCGCTCGACTTCACGGATACGTGTCGAACCGCTTAATAAAGTCCTCCTCTTTCCGATACGCGCCTACCACTTCCCTCAGCATATCGTTACCTCCGAGCCACCAATTCCAACCCGGTACCGACCCTCTTCAAGCGGCTGGCGATCACCACTTATACAGACAGCGAGTGACCTAAAACCCTCACCACCATAGCTTCTCCCTTATCCCCGTCCTTTTACAAATTCGTCAAGCATCGCCAACTGCATTGCAGCCTGTCAGTCCCACCATACGTCATCGTCAACGACTCCACTGCGCACTATCACAAAAGAACGTCAGCCCCAGAGACATGAACCCAAACCCTGTACTGGAGTACCTTCCGTTGCGATCGCCACCGAAGCTCCGGCTCCGACTGCGACTCCGAGATAAGCTTCGATCGCAGCTTTGCTGTGGAATATGTGATGACATTGCGATACTGGAAAAATTACAACGAACCGCTGGGGTATAAAAGCGACGGTCCTGGGATACGATGTTGAAACCATTGGGATTCGAAGACGAGAAATATACAGATGCTAGAGGCTTTGCGTCGGGCTTCTTTGATCACCGATCAAGGCGAGCCACTTCCTGTCGCTCGACGATCGTGATTACAAAGATCACTGTTGGGGATTATGGCGGTCCACTGATGAAGGAGAAGTCGCTGCTCGCCAGCAACAGGAACGGGCTCCCTTCCAACTTCCAGACAGACCGTCTCCATGATCGGCAACGCTCGCCTTACCTCACACGGTCTTGTGGCCTTCCGCATCCCAATCGTTGAACAATTTGCAGAGCATTCGGCTCAAGCCTGTGGCCCTTGCTGCCTGTCGCTAATTTCTGCTTCGACCTTTCAAGTGCGCACCACGCATCGATCGTCCCTCGCAACCAAATCGCTTCCGAGGAGCACCAACCGAGCGCCTTTTTCCCCGAGACCACGGCGGGCTCGGGGGTGGATGATGATCGCATTTGAGAATGGGGTCATCACAAGAACCCCAAGAAGAGCCGAAGGAGCAGTGAGACAGCGACCTTGCCTTATTGATGGGATGATGCCGAGTACAAGACAAGGAGACGGAGCTGTACAGCAAGACACCTGATGCATCGATCAGCCTCAACTCCAAGGAGCACTGAAGCCTGTCGGTCGGCACTGGACTTCACCAATCACTTGAAAGGCATGTTATGCCAACAGGCGTTATCGCTGTCCATATCCCACCGACCAGCTAAGCGACGATCTCGAATGACTGCTGTTTCACGACCAGCTCTTGGACCTACCGTCAGCTACATCCCACGACGCCAACGATAACTACGACCCCTTTGCTCGAGGATAAGCTGTAGAGGTGGGTGGATTTTGGCAGCGTCACGGTGGCCATGACTGCGCTGAGGCTGGGCATCGACATCTCGCCATGGTCATAGTGCCAGGAGAGTCGTTCTCATCATCTTCATGCAGCAGCTTGGGCGGGCAGGACGGATTGTACTGCGGATGTTATCCTGATGTTGTCGACATTGAAAGACCCTTGGATCGCCTCGTTCACCGCCAGTTGGTATTGCAGAAGGGCTCGGCGGCGTTGAAGCGCGCTCAGTACAAGGGACAGATTCGCGGGGTCCCAGTTGGAGTCCACTCCAGCAACAGCACTCATCTATCCATGCTATCGGTTACTGCTGCCTCCCGTGTGCCAAATTCGTCTTCGTATCAACAGGTGCATCCTCAAATGCTTACACAAGCCGAACAGGTCGGTCGCTTTGGGTGAGACCAGCCCACTCAGGAACCTGCTCCAAAATGGTCGGGGTGGAGATACTCATTGGTGATGCCTTGCCAATCCACAGGGACCACGTGGATGATGAGAGTGCTAGCGTTGGTACTCACGCGATCCAAGATTGGATGTTTCTTCATGGTCCATGATATCGCCGAAGGATAGCGAGCAGCTGCTGTGTCTGGGTCGCACAGTGATAGGATCAAGGGCCAGAACAGCGAGATCACTACATTTGGGTCAAGGAGGAGGGGGTTCGATAACGTCAGTCACCACTCGGAGAGGGTTCGTAACCTCTATGCCATTACTTGGCCTATACTTCTTACTGAGCCACCGCCTGCACAATTCTGACCCCGGCGCGCGCTGTTATCGATTCCTCAGTCGAGTCGGCGTCCTACTTGTATGACACTCTCCCCCCATCTCCATCCCGGTGACAAAGACAGTACGTGCAAATCCCTGAAGATGAGGCTGGCACAGTTTCCTCCACGCCTCGTGCCACACCAATCCTGTGGCTGCCAGCAATAGAAGCAGTAGGAAAGGGCCTGGCGCATCGAGCAAGGCCTCCATGGCTGAACAGATGACCATCCGATAAAGGCCAGTACCCACTGGACTACGGTAGGTATGACCTTTCACTGGAATCTGGTTCCCTGCATTTGAAGCTCGGAGTTGGGGTGTCCGCCTGCCCTTCTGCTGCTCCACCTTGATCCGGCAACCCTTCTGTACCTTGTTCACGGTCTGCGCTGTATCCAGACGATGACACAAAGGTCGCACCAACAGACGACCAGACTGTAACCCAAGGTGAGAAGGAGAAACGCGACAATACCATCGCTCTGTCTCAGCTTCTATTCATCGTCGGCACGTTGCCCTCAAGCAGTGCATCTCTTCAACCTCGACAAAAGTACCACAGGCATGAACTCCTCAGCGAGGTCCCTGAGGCTGGCGAACGCCGCTTCTTCTCCGATGTAGCCCTTTTCTGAAGTCTTCATCTCTACCACAGCGTCTCAATGCCCCGGGACTTCTCCGTCACGGATAACGGGGCTATTGAGTGGGAGTGGCCGCCTTGTCGAGAATGAATTGCCCCTGGTTGCGTCGACTCGGAAAATGGCCATGGGAGGTCATTACCTCCAGCCCGAGGAAATGGGGCCAGAATCATCTCAGACTTCACGAGACTTCTAAGCGTCGAGCTTGCCAAAACCGACAACGAACGCATCGCTTGAGGAACCATTGACTGTTTGCATGATAACTTGGGCGGGCAGAATGGGTACTTGGTCTTGATATCTTGAATGAGCTAGAAGGTAGTACGATTGCGTAGCGGTCCTCCTTAGTACTCTATGTAGATAAAATACACTATCGTTGCTCTTATGTACTTCTGCCAATGCCTCCCTTTCGTTCGACCTCATTGTCAGTGTTCCTGCGACATCATTGTGTCTTGTACCATTTCCTGCTCGAGATCCTATTCCCATGCTCCTCAAAAGGGTCACAGTCCGGGCCCAGTCGCCTCACTCATTATTCATCGAGTTGCAATTCGGCCCCGCATCGTGGCCAAGGGCACCATCTTCAACATCAGGGTGCTCAAATCGTCTCTTTGTATTTCTGGAGTTTCAATAAACAAGCACGCAACAAGACCTCTCTGTAGGCTTGTATATTTCTGGATCACAGGCCCCACGGCGTCGAGTTCGCCAAACTTGATGAACCAGTTGCAATGCTCGGCATCATACCCCCATAACGATAACTTTCCACAGCCCCGTCCATCCGTTTGCTCGTTGCGCGGCTTTCTCTTTCTCCCTCTACCTTTCCGCCACCTAACCCATCATTCCCATCTATCACTGTAGCGTGTCGCTTTGTACCGTCACGAACGTCTCACATCCACCTGGCTGTCTTCTGATAAGTTGGCCGAGCGCTGATTCGGATGGGGCGAAACGGGGGTATGACGCTGAAACCTGGTTATGAAGGCACCTCGATGTGCATGTAACTTGCGTTTTATAGTTATTATCTCGTTCGTGAATCACAGGATCTCCCAGTGGGCCGTGCCGATTCGTGGCTGGCCTTGATGACGCTGGCATTGTATTGCGTTCTCTTAACCGGAATCTATGTACAGCATCAAGTCCGACGTGAAGCTGGAGATGGCTGTTCCCTCTAAACCTATATACCGGGGTTCGTGACCCGATGGGATCTCGATTGGACCATTAGGATCGGGAGTAGGAGATAAGATAAATAAGGGTTATTTTCTTGGAGAATATGTGGCATTTGAGACTGACGCCTGCGGGTCGGCTGGGAGGATTGCAACGAATAGCTTGCCATGGCAAATAGCTGGATATTCCATTGTCCAGATGAGGAGGACAAACAGGAATGAGACTGCAGCTGACTTGAGTGATAATGTGATGAGGAGAAATGCGACCTTATAGCAATGGATGAATGGTAAGACTAGACTTACTGCATCTTGAGTCGTTGAAGCAGACGAACTTGGGGATGTAATCCAGCAAGCTCTGTGAGGAATCCAGAACAATTCCTTGCAAGTTTCACGGCGGCGGCAAGCCTTAAGTTATTAAGTCGTAGGTATATAGTCCAAGGCTCAAAGCAAGTCTGGAAACTCCAAGGCTGATAAAGTGACTTTAATCCACTTGCTGTTAGTGGAAGCGTCGACGGTCAGACTGGGCCTCTGCTGTCTCCTTCTCCCTTTTTCTTGGCTGTAGACATCTCTTAGCTGTCGGTGTTGCGAATCGTAGAAGAGGTCTGGAACATGGCCTGTAGTTGTGGTCCGTGACGGATGTAGCCGGCCGGGCAGTCGTGAAGGAGGACTCGAAATCGTGTCCTTTCTCGCATGGTGCAGAGGGTACTCTCTGGACGTCCATCGTACGTCAATATATTGATCTCGTTACGTTCGATGCAGTCGCCGGGCGTAAGGGTCTATTTAATGCGCTGGCTTGAGCTCGGTCGGCGTAACCTTTGCAGAAGCTCGTGGGTGTCGAGATGGTCTCAGATACTAGTAGATTAATAAAAGAAGAATGAGCTATCTCCTGATATTGAAGGAATGAAAGCTTAGAATTGACTTTCTGTGATATTCTTGCTAGATGCACTGCGTGGGGACAGTGAACCTCACGGCAACTGTCGACTTTGTCAGCCGACCTTCAGTCAAACAGCCAGCATCGAAGCGCACCCAATCCTCAAACAGACTCTTCGATGCTCCGTTACATTGGTGTTTGGTTTACATCGCTTTCTGGCTTTCACGTAGTACTTGATCTTGTAGCTACGGTTCCAAGATCCACAGTGGACATGCCAAACTCGACATCGATTTAATATATAAACCTCGGTCCTGTAGCTGACTCTTCTGCATTTCAAGACAAACAAGAATAAGATTTATCTGCCATCAGCAGCTTTTATAGCGGCAATGATGTCGTGAACGCTCAGGATCTTGGCCGCTTGATACCACTGCCTCTGCTTTCACACTCGTATCTCCCTGTCCTCAATACATTTCGCACCTCTGTACAATATATTTCTATATTACGAAGCATGTTTTAGGATCAGTCGGCATTTAGCTAACATGTAAAGGCTTCATACACGAAACATGTAGTACGGATGGTCACGACTAGTCATGCCAGAGAAGCAGATATTGACGAACAGGAAGAAAATTAATTATGTCTCCAAGGACCTTGGCCCAAGAACAAAACAAATGAGCGCACAAAAGAAACTTCCCTTGCATATCGTAAAGATCTTAGTCCGCGCTGCAAAGACCTTCCTCTTACTCCTCCACTTCCTTATCCTCTCCATTATCCTCCCCTTCCTTGTCCGTAGCTCGCTCCAAGTTAACCCACCCACTACAATGAAGTCTAGTGAGATTCACCAAGAAGGGCATATCGAGAGCCCTTGCCTGCGCCGCTAGACCATCAAACTTCCTCCTGATCATCTCCCTCTTTGCCCTAATCTTCTCCTCCACTTTATCCAGCTCAGCACTCTGATCCTTCCCCTGCTGAAAGCCTTGTCTGGATTTAATCGCCATTCTGAGGGTCTCAAGTTCCCTCTCCCTTTTCTCGAAATGTTCCTGCTCCTCTTTATATCCTAGTTTCATTAGCTGAATATCTCGGAATTCCGTAGGGCCCTTACCTCCATCTTTCCACCACTCTGCATCCGCACCCAGGCGCATCTTGCTGGCGTCACGAGACATTTGCACAACTTGGTACGCTCTTTGGAGGGCTTGAGGGTCTAGTTTCAGTATCTGCTCCTGGATTGACTCGGGCTCCATTCCGCCTGTTATGCGAGGCCTTTTGGCTGGTTGAGGTATTGCTGGGCTGGTGCCCTGCTGAAGGGATCGCTTGCGAGTTGGGCGTGTGTTCATGGTTGGTTCTTCTTGGTTCTGGCGCATTAATTAGTGACTGATATAGAGAGGCTCGGAAGATGGCGCACTTGTAAAGACATGCGTGTGGTTGTGTAAAAAAGGGTTTGTGGGTTTCAGCCAATGCGATGGATGTTGGTAATGATGAAGAAGAGAGAAAGAGAAGAAGAAGGTAGGGAAAGCGAAGAGGTATATTTTGTGTCGCCTTGTCTCGTTCATCAGTTCGTGTTTCATTTCTGCCGTATGCCTCTTGCTGTCTTAATGTTAAGCCAAGTCAGAAATTATGTGGCTAGTAACGGAAGACCTCCCGTCTGTATGCCGAATGCGAGGAACTAGGTCAGACTACCCAAGTACTCTTCGGATAGACTTATTATGCACCACCACAGAACATGGATGCTCGACTTCCGCTGCCGTATATCTCACAAGCCGTTTTGAGGTGAGTGGAGCTGCGGAAGTCGTCGCTGTCAAGTCAGAAGCTCAACGGATGAGGGATGCTAGCGCAGGGTCAATTCACTTGCTGGTGAAGCCATCTCCTGCATCGTTGAATGGCCATATATAAATTCAGGATGACTGAGTGAGGTTGTACGTTGGGTTGCTGGCAATAAGGCTGAAAAGATGACCTTGGAGCACAGAAGTCTTTGCCCACCACAAGGAAAGGCAAAGGAAGAGGGAACGTATCAAATTGCACAGCCAAGGAACCGAAGCAGTCAAAGGAATGTACCTTAATTTCCGTACCATTAACATGGAAACTTCTGCTACGACTGATAGGCTGATGAGAACCTCTAACAAACGGTGTCTTGGTAGCTTCGTGTGACCAACAGCCCAGCATCCATCGTCTTTTTCCTTTCCTCAGGCACTCTAACCAGCTTCCATGGCCAATGACCCTCTACCTCAAACAGCACCAACCATGGTCATTCCAAAAATCGGAGAAACCTTTCATTCTTACTTACAGGGAATGTTGGTGGTCCAAACGCCCTTCAATGATGTTGTGTCGACAATTCTCCAGCCTTTCAAGCAAAGCAGCATACAAATACATGAAATTTTGCCTCTGGCTGAGGTTTCTAATACCGGGGTTACATTTAAATCGTTGTGTTTCCGTCTTTCGTTCTTCAAGCCCTTAGAAGCAGGCAACAAACACAATCGGCTACGATGCTACCGTCGAGATGGGTATCAAACGGAAGATGCTTATAGTGAGTACTATGTCGAGACACGCCCCCGATTACACGTGGACGCCACTCCCGAGCGCCACCCCCTACTGAAGAGTGCTGTTATAGAGTACACCCCCGGCGGGGTGTCAGAATTCGCGGGAACCCGTTCTCACCAACTCCACGTCAAACACCTTCTGGCACCCTTCGATGTACGTCTTCATGCCCCATCTGCACACTCCCATTGCACAAGACAACCCCGCGCAAGACCTTGTCGATCCGACTGTCGCCTGTGCAAAGCAAAGCCTCCCGAGCGTTGGTAGACACTCAAGTTGACTTGAAAACGAAGTGTAAAGATACCTCCGGGGCTGTCACCCTTGTAATACAACCAGCCACAGAGGCGCTGGCGGAAAAGCTTTTTGGTCCTTGGCTCAAGGCACGCGTAGAGTAGATGGCGTCTTGCCTGGAAAGTGAAGCTATTCATAGTTTAGTAGCAGCCCAGCTGAAATAGGTTATTCCGGAGCTGCTGGCCCTCCGCTTGAGGATGATCCGCCAAGTCAAGCCTTCGGTCGTTCTTCTCGGGCGGCAGACTAGATATGAAGTTCCCTGCACAAAGATCAAAGAAAACATTCCATTGTCTTTAAGAAGAGGAATCCCATGTTGATACTAGCAATAGCTTTAAGAAAGAATAAATTATGTAGAAAGAGGCGATCCGCTCTTGAAGAAGTACTCGGTTCCAGAATGCTCGCCTTTTACCGCCAGATCATGGTTCACTTGAGTGGTCGCTCAAACCTGGCTAACGTCCCTCGCCTTCGTCCTTCAGGATCCTCAGCCTTATCGCATCGTATGTTTGGCTTCCACATTCAGGCCATGTACATTGAAAGAGACATGGGCAATACCAGCAGCTTACATGGAGACTGCAAGCTCAGCACAAGGTTGATCCGTCAAAATTAGCGGTCACTCATGAACGGCTTGAGTTTTAGGTACCCATGCCCTGTAAATATAGTGTCCAAGCCCTGTAAGCATTACTCCCTGGTTGGTGAACCATACCCTCCAAGTTTGGCTACTTCAGCTGCATATTGGCCATTTTTCTCGCAGTACCGGTGCCGCGCCTGGTACTCGACCTTCCGATGAACCACCACAGTTTGTTAACACTTCATTGAGCTTGGGTCTCGGGGCGGCTCAAGGGGAATTGTACTTGAAGATGTTAACAGATGCTCAGAAAGGATCGGAGCAGGGCTTGGGGTGCTGAGAGTAATGCTGAGCATAAAGAACAGTAGAAAGCTCAGCCGCAGAGTCTTACGGTGCTACAAGGCATTGCCGAACCGTCCTTGTTCCTCCGCGGAAAATATACTGGCGATGATGTAGCTGGTGGAAGTTAGCGCCCATCGTTCTGCTCTATTGGAGAGCTGAGTGAATAAAGTATCTAATAGTTTAATGGTAACTAAATTGGATAGGTAGATTGGAGAGGCTGACACTCTTAAGAATGATTGTTCGTTGCGTCCTAATAAGGCTGTCTGCTAACCAAAGAATACCACTTGACCCACGACATGCGAGTGTCTATCGTCAATATGACACAGGATTCTTTCCATCCAGAGCATACTCGATCCCAGAACTGCCGCTGTGCTGATATTGATAGTAATGGCAAGAAACTGGCCTGCTGCGTCTGCTATTTCCATATCTCTCCACTCCAACCACTGCAGACACGTGAGTGTATCTTTCAAGTCATTTGGCAATATGAGCTTGCTGAGAATGACTCAAAGCATCGATACCTCCACATCAGTCAACAATAAGTCGTGGTTCACGTGCCAAAAGTAGCGACAGCACACGCAAGAGCTGTACTCCAGGCCCTGTATCATCTCGAGGTGTATGTTGGTGTCCGAGGCAGAAAGCAGCCCCTGCTGAAATGCTGATCCTCGATCAGTGATAATGCGCTTTGATCACCGCAAGTGAGTAAATGGTTCCTTATGAGAACACGCTATTCTGAAAGGCGTGCCGTGACTCGTGCTGTTTACAATCAGGCAGAGGCAAGACGACGAGGGCGAGCAAAGAAACAACGAACCTCGCATCTGTAGGGAACATTGGGCAATGCTGAGCAGATAATTCCGCCAGAAAAGCTGCATTCCTTTTGGTGGTAGCTAACTGAGGCGATGTACCGATGGCTAGGCAAGCATGAAGTCGCGGCCGATTGAGGTCCGACATGTCGCAGATCGACGAGAAGAGCGCGCATACCCAGGAAGATGTCGCATCCAATATCAATACCTCGCTTCATACCCCTAAGTGACCAAGAACAGCTCTCGTGAAGCGCGATGCCTGAGGATCACCAAGGTGTTGCGAGAAGGCCGATGTTCTAAGACGACACCTCATTAGTCACGTTCCCACGTGCGCAGCCTTTTGGATATTTGCGAGTCTTGCCAACGTGGCAGAGAGATGGGTTTAGACAGCGAGGAGACAAGTTTGTTTGCATAATGGCGATAGAGCGTGGAAACATCAGAGGCTCGTTGCGCCGTGGGGGATGACTGGATGTGAGCTGATTGCCTGCGTTATGTATCGTCTCGAGATTATGCCTTGTTCAGATGATAAAGGTTTGGTATTTTACCATTGCAATTGATGCTAGCACTGATTAATAACGGGAACAGTAGACTTGCAGCGGCACCCAACAATCAGACTCTGGCTTGGGCAGCTAGACCTGCAATTGCGCGAAAGAGTCTGAGGGTTATCTCTGGCCCTGATCCCTGCATTCTTCTTGGAGCTCAAGTCGTATCGACCATGTGAAATAGACCGCGATCTATCGTCCCTTTCGATGTTCGAGTCTTTTTGGTGTAGAATGCGTCACGATATCTCGAACGGAGGAAACAAGTTCGGAGAAGCAAGGGTCAGCAATAAGTCCAATGTTCGAGATCCTGTCAGCATCCCGCGTCAATCATCAGCTCCGCAATAGAGATGAGTTAGATGCTCATCTTGTTCTGTAGCTGCACATGTACTGGAAGAATGAAGCCTCCTAATATATTAATACTTGCAGCGATGTGCAACATTGTTGCAATTGGCGCAGGTCGTCGAAGCGGGAGTAAAGGGGGTTTAGAAGTGCATGGACTGAAGAACGTTGTGGGATAGAGAATGCTGATCAGGATGAACTCTCGACGCAGGGCTGAACACCGTGTAGCGAACGCGTCCAAAGGCTAGAGCGCCAGACGCTATGTCTCCCTGATGTGGTGGAACAGTGATAGAGTAAGGACTGACGAGGAATTGCGGCCGAGAGAAACTTGCTGGATGTCTCTTTTAGGTTACAATTTGAGGTTCGTTCCGGATGAATTCGAGCCAGGACCCAGAGGATTCGGCTCCTTTCGAAAGGAGCACCTCATTGAGCTGATGCTTATATCGCGGCCTCGAACATTCCGGGGATTGTCGCTGACAGTGGCATTCGGAGGAGTCGCAAGTCACGCTGTCATCTTCCGGCCATGCAACGTCATGCATACTCTGGCTTAAACCTCCTCGAAACGCCGACCAACAGCTTGTTATTCTTCGGCGCAACGTTTAAGCGGCTCATGAGGTCTATGCCTAGAGTCTGGCGCTACTGATGACTCTGTAATCAGGGCGCCCTTGTGACTCTGCAGGGCTACTGTAGTTGAACCCTTTCCTATAAATATCTATCTAGAAACATCGTTTTGGAGTCTAGCAGTTGGTCAAGTTAATAGATCAGTCACTGGTAAAAGGTTATCGTGGTTGAGGAGCATCTTCACTTTGTCACGCGCGAGGTGTTCCCTGAGAGCGCTCGCATCTCTTTTATTAAACCCCTAAAGACTGTTTTTCTTCGTTAAAAGATGGTTAAGTTATATTCATTTTGTAGTCTCCTTAACT